TTTGAGTGCCCAGTCCCCCAGTCTATCTAAATCCCTTTGCAGCAAAGTAATATCTTGCTCACATTGTATTGTTTTACAAAGTTTGGTGTCATCTGCAAACACTGAAACATGACTTTCAATGCGGTCTTCAAGATCATTTATAAACATGTTAAATAGAAGGGGTCCCAGAACAGACCCCTGAGGGACACCACTTGCCACCTCTGTCCAGCTTGAAAATTTACCATTAATGACAACTCTTTGTACTCTGTTTTTAAGCCAATGTTCTACCCAAGAACAAGCATTGTTTGAAAACTAATCTATTGTGTGGAACTTTATCAAATGCCTTGGCAAAATCCAAATAGATCACATCCACGGCAACACCCTGATCTATACTTCTACTTACTTCTTCGTAGAACGCAATCAAGTTAGTTTGACATATTTTTTTTTAATTATTTTTATTTATATATAGGTATATATATAGTGATATATATACGTACATACTTATGTATATAGATATATACATTATTTTGTTCTACATGTATTTTGATATCAATATATATATATTAATTTTAAAATACAGTTAGAACGAAATTACACATGTATATATATTTTTTATTTATTTATTTATTTTAAATTATTTTATTTTTAACGTATTTACATATTTGTTTATTTTATATTATATATAACTATATATATATATATATATATATATATATATATAATGATAATCATATATATATTTAGTCAATATCATTGGACGTGTACTTTGATCTGAATATATATATATATAATTATATATATAATAATATTAAAATACACTTAGACAGTGTATGTGTATTTATGTGTATGTGTGTATATGTGTATATATATATATATATATACTTAGATCATATATATAATAAATATATATATATGATCTAAGTATATACTATTTAATTTTACACTGTTTTAACATTTATTTTTATTTTTTTCAGACAGCAGGGGGAGTACTTGTCATTGCATGCACTCCCCCTGCTGACAATGGCTTGGACGGCTATGCCGTCCATGTGGTCGCGAGGTCCTCGCAAGGACCTCGCGATCACATGGCCCAGAGGAGCAGAAGACGAAGGAGGGGGATTCCCTGGGCGCCCAGCTGAGTCCCCATACTGCGATTGCCGGCGTGGGATCGCCGGCGACCGGGTAAGTACATAAGATCGCGGGGACGTTCTATGCCGCCCTGCAGCATTTAGAGCCGCTTCCTTAAGGACGGCATAGATCGCCCTGCGGTCTTAAGAGGTTAAACTCAGCATTATCATGTTGCCTGAAGAGTGGCCAATCAATTGAGTCATAACAGATTCAATAAGGGAGAATATGGATTTTTTGTGAAAATGACAATATGCATATTATAAGCACTCTCAAGGGTGAGTTCTGAACATGGTTATAGTTCCTGAAATGGAGATAAAGAACAAATATGATGCAGAATGTTTGGTACAGGTATAGTTTATTTATTTCTAAAATATTTTACCAGGATGGATACATTGAGATGTCTCTCGTTTTCAGGTATGTCCTGGGTCCACAAACACTGCATTGTTACAGAAGCGTACAATATAGTATTACAAAACAAATAATACAATATACAATATATATTATACATACACACATATATAAATTCAACACATAACAGGTAATAAATATAGTAAACTATGACCGGTGCATTATATATTGAGATGTGTTGGCAGAGATATCTTAAAAGATTTTTGATCGAGTGCCCTGTAGAAAAATAAGGAGCGAGCTACTTTATTTTTGTATAGCGTTTTGCTAAAAAAAGTGCTGGTACTGGATCGGAGGTTGTAGGTGGAGTGGGAACTTCCCAGAAATGCTCTTATGCACAAGGCTGGAAAGATGGCGTCAGGATTCCAGCGACAGACAGTTTAGTTCTTTTAACATGTCACAATGGTGGACTAAGTAATTACATTCTAGTACAAATCGAACTAAATATACAATATACAAAAATTTACACATTTTTTCTGACTTAGTAGGATTAGTTTAGTACACCCTTGAAGGTGTTCTTTATAGGTTATTTAGGGTGTACGTCTTACACTGTAGTAATCTAACTAAGTGTACCACCTATATTTTGGTGGATTCTTTATTCACCTTGCTCCCTAGAGAATCAATCATAACCAATTAAGCCTTAGTATCTACCCCTCTTGATATATTGTATCTTTTTCCCTTGGTACTCCATTGATGGTAATTTTTATTATTTTTTGTTTTCTGGAACATAATAAAGTATTTTGATTATAATTTAATATCCTATATTTGGAGATACCTATTGGAAGAATTTTGATACTCCATTGGTTCATTTGTTGTGCCACAAGTACTCAGTGCTGTTGGTTTAGTTACCATTGTATGTATCAAGCTTTTCACCGTTTATTGTATCAAAACCAGCTTCTGAGCCTCATTTTTATGAGTCTCTAATATAGTTACTTTACTTTTGTTTAATACTTTACTTCAGGTATAAGCCCTGTCTGGTGGAACTGGAACCACCAAACCACCAAACTGACCTTTGTGTGCCACACACTCTCATATCTTGATGAGGTGCTTGACACACTTCCTCTATCTTATTTAACTTGTTTAAAAGGGTTTAAGACCCATTACTCTCAGGTCAGTGTGTTTTCAGAGATCACTGATTTCAATCCCTCCTTCTAATCATGACTGGCTTCCTTTCAAATAAAAAAGATTTCTCCACTTGGTGTCTTGATGCAGATCAGGTTTTCTCCGAATCCCATCTAGATACCACACAATCTAATTATACCCTAACTACCGGTTTTAATACTCTCTCTAATCTCTATAAACAGCAGATAAGAACCAGCTGGGAAATCTCCTCACTTGAGAATTATCTCAAAAAGGGCCTCATACCAAGAGGCCTGAGGGTTCCAACAACTCCCTCTAATCATATTGAGGAAGATGATTTCATAAAGGAATGGGAGGAAGCAGCAGGTCAATGCTCAACCCGCTTTATGGAAATCATCTGTAAATATGAAAAGAAAAAACTGCAAGACATAGGGATAAAGGTGGATAATGAGATCGATAAAATAGATCAGTTTAAAACAGATCCCGCCTTTTCCACTAATGAAAATAAATTGCAGTCTAATCTAGAGAGATACCAACTAATGATAAAACAGAGGAAACATCAAAAATTCCTCAGAAATCATAGGGACTTTAAAACTGGCAATGTTTACAAAAAGTTCCAACGAAGGAAGAAGGTCGATACAGATCAAGTCTCCACCTCAGAATATGAGACAAGTGGTTCAGACACTGACTCACAATCCACTTCCTCTACCTCTAATGAACAAAATAAAAGCATTCTTAAAAAAGGGGTTACTTTTTTAGAAAAGACCATGGGCGAAGAACGCCCTTCTCTGAGACCAAGACCGAGGAGACAATCGTATCGTAGAAACCGATTTTAGAGAGAGACCAAGTGGTGAATCTATCTAAGTATACTTTAACTCAGACAGAATTTAAATTACTGGAAAGAGGTTTATCCTTTGTTCCAGTTCCTAAATTTGATAAATTTATCTGGGTAAAAGACATACATTTATTTGTTCGAAAATTGTTACTTCACAAAACTTTTGCTTTAAATGAAGAGAAAAAGGCCAATGCATTGGGCCTTAATGTTAAAGATTACCAACTCACTTTACTCCTAGCAGAACTCCTAGAAGAAAGTGATCCCTTTGAAAGGAACCCAGTCCCCTTTACAGACCTTTGCCGTAAAAGTGAATTTTGCCCTAGACTAGGAGACTCTAAATATATACAGACTTTTCTAGAATTGGTGTGCAAAGAAATTGACTCCTTGTCCCCCTCAAAATTTCCTTCTAAACCAAACTCAAACCTCTCTCAGGATGAATTAAAAGCTTTAAAAAATCTTCAAGCCAATGAGGAAATAACTATTAAACCTTCTGACAAAGGAGGAAACATAGTTGTCTTAGATACATCTCACTATGTCGCAATTACTACAAAAATCCTTTCTGATGAATCAACTTACAAAGTACTGGGAACAGATCCAACAAAACCTTTTCTATGTAAATTAAAAAAGATCTTGCAAAAAGGTACTGAAGAGAACTTGATCTCTAAAAAAGAATATGACTTTATGCTGAATACCAGCCCACGTACACCTGCATTCTATAATCTACCCAAAATACACAAAAAACATCAAGATCTGACGGGTAGACCTATAGTGTCAGGAAACAACAACCTGACACAAAATGTGAGTGTATATCTAGATCATATTGTACGTCCCATAGTAGCCAAACTCCCTTCCTATCTAAGGGATACTAAACAGGCACTGGCACATCTCAATACTCTGAACATGCCTCATGACTCAATACATTGTAGCCTCGATGTTGAGGCGCTCTATAGCTCTATCCCCCATGAGATAGGGCTTAAACATGTACAGCATTTTTTATTACAAAGAGGGCAACAGTTGTACCATCATAGTGAATTTGTCATCGAATTATTACAATTTCTATTAACCCATAACTTCTTCCTATTTAATTACATCTATTACCACCAGGTGCAGGGTACAGCGATGGGGACGTCTTGTGCGCCCTCATACGCCAACCTACACCTGGGATGGTGGGAAGAGAATGTGGTTTTTACAACTAATTTGAGTACATTCACTAGATATATTCTCTCTTGGAAGAGATATATCGACGACATAATGATTGTTTGGAGAGGTACCACAGAAGACTTTAACCTCTTTGTACAGACACTCAATGACAATACTTTAAATCTGAAATTCACATCAGAAATGGGTACCCCAGTCTCAACTTTCTAGATCTGACAATAATTCCCAACACAATGGGTGGTATAAAAACAGATCTATTCAGAAAGAGTACGGCAACAAACAGTCTGCTTAACTGGGGAAGCTACCACCCAATTCCCCTAAAAAGAGGTATACCAACAGGACAAGATCTACGCCTAAGGCGTAACTGCTCTGATGTACAAGACTTCAAAATAAGGGCTAGAGAACTACGAACAATGTTCAGAGCCAAGGGATATCCAAACAAATGTTTGAAAAAGGCTTATCATCGAGCCCTTTTAACTGACCAAGAAGACTTGATAAAAGATGTATTACCTTTCCCAACAAAAAATACTTCAAATTGTAAACATCTAAGAGTTATTGCTACCTACGATGCGGGCTGGGAACAAGTTAAAACTATACTAAATAGATACTGGCCTTTACTTAAACAAGATGACCATCTTAAAGAAATCCTTCCCCCAAATGCTGCCCTTATAGCACGTAGGGGCAAGAATATCAAAGATACTCTTGTACATAGTCACTTCAAACAGTTGAAAAGGACTACTACCCATTGGCTCTCCAACAAACTCCTGGGGACCTATAAATGCGGCCGATGCAAGGCCTGTAACTTAATTTGCAAAGATTCTAAAAGTTTCCATAATAGTACTCAGTTGGAAACTTTCTATCCAAATTCCTTCTTTAATTGCAACTCTAAAGGCCTGGTCTACTTGATAAAATGTCAATGTAATCAATTATACGTTGGAAAGACTTTTAGGCCTTTTAAAAGAAGGATTTTGGAACCCATAAATTCCATTAAAACCAAGAGACATATCGAAACCACAGTCTCTAGACATGTGAAGAATTTTCACCAAGGTGACTACAGAGTACTCCAATTTCTTGGGATTGAATTGGTCAAACTTGACCAAAGGAGAGGAAACCTCGATAAGCTCCTCAGGAGAAGAGAGTGCTTTTGGATTTACCGTCTGAGCACTCTATCACCGAGTGGGCTAAATTAAGGATTTTCCTACTCTCCTTTTATTAGTGATCTCTGATTAATATAATACCATCTATACAATATATACGATTCTTAATGAAAATCTATTTACAACTTATATGATGATGAAACTTTTTGCCTTTCTTTATGTTAACTAATTTATTCTATGTGTATGTTTATTTAACAGACCTCTTATACCTTTTAAAAGACGGACGGACACCTCCATTCGGGCATCTTATCTTGAGTTCTCTAACTATATGCACTATAATCATCTCTATTCTGACATTCTTTGGCCAGTGAGACATTCTTGTCCTCATAAGTTTATTATCTTTCTTTGACAAAAGAATGGATCTTTAATTATCATATATGCATTGAGACATGAGATATAAGTATAGGTTTATCTCTCAAATTGAGATCAAAGTGAGACATTTTACTCATCTATTTTTTTCATCTATTCCTTCATCACATTAAGTTATAACTTTAAACTTTGGAGGGTATGCACAATACATATTCTATCTGAGATCTATACTATTTACTTTCACATCATGTATCACTCATCATTTCCCCTGAATAGTTTACTAAAAGGGTATTATTACCCTTATACTATCGATAATCCTTTTAATGATACATGATGTTGATGCCAGCCGTGAGGAGTCATCTAGCCGTCAATCACGGCTTACATCTCCGCCCATAATACAACATACGCATTCCAAATAGACGGAGAATGGGAGGGAGGAGTTTTCCTCTGTGATTCTCCCCCTCCCCTCTCCGCCCTCGGACTCCGCCTCCCTGTATCCACGTGGGGCTGGGCATGTGTATAGACGTCAAACGAACGTCTATAGCTGATTGGCGGACGTCCGCCCTGCCTGTTTCCGCCTACATCACACCCATACACACACCTGCCGACGGATTCGGTAACTTTGGGAATACTATCATTTTGGGCGGCAAAATAGGGCTTTAAAAGCCACTCCATGGATGAGGTACTGTTAGCCCCTGACGAAGGTGCATTAGACGCACCGAAACGCGCGTCGGGTTATTTTTTCATTTATTTTATTTTTTATTCACTTAACACTTCAGGTCACTATGGGAACCCTAGGTGTTTAATTTTTGTTTCACCTATGTTTTTTGTCCAAACAGCACTGATGGACGCCATTTAGAAGGGTTACTACTATAGGCAGGCTGATTGATGCTATTCTTCCCTCTTTGTACTTAGGGACAGCATAGAACACCCTTGAAGGTGTTTCTTTAGGAGTTGCAGGGAATATATATTTAGTTTTCTCCACTCCTTCCCTATTGCTGTTCAATTTACACATTTTTTCTGACTTAGTAGGGATAGTTTAGTACACCCTTGAAGGTGTTCTTTATAGGTTATTTAGGGTGTACGTCTTACACTGTAGTAATCTAACTAAGTGTACCACCTATATTTTGGTGGATTCTTTATTCACCTTGCTCCCTAGAGAATCAATCATAACCAATTAAGCCTTAGTATCTACCCCTCTTGATATATTGTATTTTTTTCCCTTGGTACTCCATTGATGGTAATTTTTATTATTTTTTGTTTTCTGGAACATAATAAAGTATTTTGATTATAATTTAATATCCTATATTTGGAGATACCTATTGGAAGAATTTTGATACTCCATTGGTTCATTTGTTGTGCCACAAGTACTCAGTGCTGTTGGTTTAGTTACCATTGTATGTATCAAGCTTTTCACCGTTTATTGCATCAAAACCATCTTCTGAGCCTCATTTTTATGAGTCTCTAATATAGTTACTTTACTTTTGTTTAATAAATATACAATGTATTAAGTTTATGAAGGTGGGTTTACATAGTTACATAGTTTTGAGGCGCAGGTGCATACACTACATCCCCATAATCAAAGGCCAGCATTAGCATTTGTTGCACTACGGTTCCTTACTGTAGGGCTTAGGCAGAATTTGTTTCTGTACAGGGCACCTAGTTTTCAATGAAGTTTTGAAGAGATTTCTTCAATATGAAGGCCAAAGGATAGATTGGGGTCTAGCAACATACCTAGATATTTGAAAGAACAGACTGTTGTCAGTGTGCTATTTAAATTTGTTTTGATACATAGTTGAGGATTTTGTAGTTTATGTAATATAGGTACAGTTCCAAAGATCATTGTGACAGTTTTGTCAGTGTTTAGATAGAGTTTGTTAACTGCAATCCACTTTTCTACCTCAGCAAACTGGTCTTGGAGCACAGCCTCAAGCTGCGGTAGAGTGGGTTTACTAGCATAGATTACAGTGTCAGTTACTTTTTTTTTCTGTACATATTAATAAAGTTTTGGATTTAATTATTTACGGCACTCATCTGGGACTATACGTCACAAGGTCTTTGGTTAACTTTAGGGCCACAACTCCGTGTCTATCCCTGGTTTAGTCACAGATTGTACCACTGCTGGGTTTTTCCTAGCCCTGACTTTATTTCAAAACCAGACTGAGTCCCACCTTCATGGGGGACTCATTATATGTATCCATTTTGTTATCCAATTAATATTGGGTTCATGCCCTTTGGTGGATCTGGTACCACCATCCCTGACCTCTGTGTGCTCGATTTTCACTTTTAGTGACAATCCTTTACACACAGTTTTTTTGTTTTGTTTATTTATTCACAAAAACATGTATTCCTGACCCTATAGTGTTAAAACCACCATTTTCTCCCCCCCCCCCACCTCCATAAATATAGTAAAATCTTACTTGTATTCAATTCTGCAGCTGCTGCCTCTGCCTCTAACGGGCATGCTGTCTGCTGACATCATCAGAAGTGGTGGTCTGAGCCAATAACAATGGTTCCCCATAGGATTGGCTGAGAATGTCAAGGAGGCAGATCAGGGGCAGAGCCAGCACAAGTCAAACACAGCCCTGGCCAATCAGCATTTCCTCATAGAGATGCATTGAATCAATGCATCTCTATGAGGAAAATTCAGTGTTTCCATGCAGAGGTTGGAGACACTGAATAGCAGTAGTGCACAGTGTGCAGCACTGTCCCAGGAAGCACCTCTAGTAGCTATCCCAGGAGTGGCCAGTAAAGGTATTCCTAGGCTGTAAAGTAAACACTCTATTTTCTCTGAAAAAGGGAATTATTCTAATCACCAGAACAAATACAAAACGTAGTAGTTGTTCTAATGACTATAGTGTCCCTTTAAGTGGCAGTGACTAGCAGTACAACACTGCACTAGACATGAGCAACAGTGTCACACTAGAATAAGTGAAGCAGTCTTTCTCTACCACCCAAAGTTTGTGTGAGTGCCAGTATGGGGTATCTAGGAACTGTTTTATTTCTACAAAGAGTTAAGTGCCACTGGTTTTTCTCCCCCCTCCCTCCCAAAAATAAAATACTGAAGTCCGATTGGGCACAGTGACCTTTTAACAGAGCAACCGGACCCTTGTAGTGTCAGCAACGCTGGGAGAAAGGGAGTGCAGTTCACTTCCTCCCAGCTTCATATAGAGAGCTTGCGTGTGGAGTACAAAAGTAGGCACATAAAACTATTTTAATAAGAGGGGGCTAAAAATAAAAAATATGACCTGTGTGTGTCTGTGAGTGTGTATGTGTCAGTGTGTATAATTGTGTGTATGTGTGTATTTGTGTGTGTCTGAGTGTGTGTATGCATCAGTGTGTTTATCTGTGTGTGTGTCAGTGTGTATCTGTGTGAGTATGTGTCAGTGTGTATCTTTGTGTGTCTCAATCTCTATGTGTATCTGTGTAATTATATATGTATTTGCATCACAGCAATCAAACCCTTGCATTCAAATGTCGACATTACATACAAACACACACCTGCAGTCAAACCCCCAAACTATATACAAACACACCCCTTCATTCAAACACCAACACTACAAACAAAAGTACACCTGCATTTTTAGAGCTAACACTACATACAACCACACCCCTGCATTCATATGCAAACATTACACAGAATCCCACTGGCTACAGTACATACAAATTCACCCCTACATGTTGACGTATACTCGATAAAAACACATGATTACATTCAAATGTACAAACTTTACTATCAGAGTTTACTATTTACTAGTTTACTATTTCATGGAAGCGCCTCTAGTGGCTGTTATACTTACAGACACTAGAGGAGGTTAAACCTGCAATGAAAGCATTGCCATTCCTGCAGAACTGCAATGTTTTCAACTGCAGAGGTAAAAATCGTGGCACATGGAACCCACACCAATTTATTGAGATGAAGTGGTTTGGGTGCCTATAGTGTTACTTTAATAAAGTAACACTATATTTTTTTCCAGTTAGGAAAAAAATCACATTCTCTTATTTGGTCAAACTGTGATTAACCCGTGTACAGACCATTACCTTAAATAGAACTGCATCACTTCATTAATTTGGACTTTGTTTCTATTCCTATGACTTTTTAACGTTTCATTAATCTTTAAGTTTATTTGAAATACTGAATTCAAAGTGAATGTTTCAATATAATTTCTATGAAATTGTCACCTATACAAATACCAGTCTCTTGCTAATGGTACCAAACCCCGATATAGCCTCAAAATAAAATAGTAGTTAGCTGTCAGAAAGAAAACATGTCAAGCTCAATGTAATTATATTTTTTGTTGCTGCTTCAGTCATTGTTTGCCAGGAATGGTCCTTTGAACCTTAGCACAATTTCTGTCAGTGAAGCATGAAAGCCATGTACTACAAGGGACATTATAGTTTTAGACCATGTTTAATGTGATCAGATTACAGAAAATGCACAGGACGACCTGTATTCTTTACCTTACTGCTTTCTGCTCCTCAAGGCCCAACTGAAGACAATCCGTGTGATCCTTAGTCAAGAAGCATGACTGGGGTGCATATATTAGCTTTGATATTGTGTATATCTGGCACTGGAGCAGTTATTGGTGCAGTTATATCAAATGAGTGGAAGGTGACAAGCCGTGCTACCTCTGTAATTACCGCTACTTGGGTCTTTCAGGGCTTGTGGATGAACTGTGCAGGAAATGCTCTTGGGTCATACCACTGTAGACCCCACTTGACCCTCTTCAGAGTTGAAGGTAAGAACAGATCTGTGCCCTTCTGTACAAGTACAAGTTTGAAGACAGTTTTGCTAACCAATATCCGTTGAATCTACATATTGCAATCTTTGTAATTTATGCAAAAATAAAAATTCCCAGCGTATCATAATTACTTCTTTCTGACAATATATTTCAATAGGTTCAGATTTCCACTCATTGTAATAGTATTTCTACCAATTACATAGAATTTAAAGTACAAAAGTATATTAAAAAGAAAATTATAGAAGATATTCTATGTATGCATGTTCAGGTGGTTTCATAGACGATATTCTAGACACATATTCACATGTGAAAATATCACAGAAACTATGTATTATCAAATTACTGTAAAGAAAAAAAGAAATTATATTTTATTTGATTGATGTTTAACATAATTTCTTTAATTAAGACAGTGTTTGTATCAACTTGTATCAATACTCCCAGAATGTGTCCCTTATGGACTGATTATAGCATAAATTAGTTTTGATCTACCCTTATTCCCTAATTGCAATACAACTTTTTTTTCTTTATTAATTTAGCATTTTATTCTTAATTTCTTTACTTTACTCCCTTCTTTATCTCCATATATTTTTATTGTTCTCTGTCGTGCCAACTTGCTTTGATGATATTACTTATTTTAAAATTATGTGGATGTATTACCAAAACATGAGATAGAAAATAATTTAAAGACAATATATTATTTTGATCCACAAGGAAGCTGTCTTCTTGCCTGCATCAACGTGTAGGTTTTCATAATAAAAACACATTTGTTTCTTAAACTAAATGGTATATTAAATTTACTCTACAAATGTATTATTATTAGATAAAGTTTAGGCTAGCATCACTCATCTTCTCTATTGGCCAACGGCTACTATAATGGCCTATACACTAACTCTGTATGCAGTTTTGTTCTAGATTATTATTTGTTCTGAACTGTATTAGTTATCTCACACTGCAAAAAAAAAATACCATTGCTATTGAACTATCTTACTTTAACAAGTCTTTGTTAGGTTTGTTTTGTACATGCATTCAGAACAAAAAAAAAACTTCACTTGTGACATGTTAATTATTCATACATTTCATTCCTAATGCCTTGGTTTTAGAGAATAAGATGCTTAATATTAATAATTGTATAATTCTCAAGTGAAAATTACACAAATCCTTTTTTTGTAATACAAAAATTCCAAAATCCAGTTTTAGTCTTCTTTTTACATTGTTGGAGATTTTACTTTTTATGACACATTTTTGTTTTTTTATTTAAATTTGTGTGTGTTTGACCAAATTAAAAAAAGTTTAATAAATTGGTGATGCATAGTTTTGTCATAGCATGTTTTACAATGTTCCAATGAGGACAACAAAATTACATTAGAAATTTTGTTCTTTTTATCCATCCTTCAGAATTTCATGTCATTTTTTTTTTAACTTACAAAAAATATGTCCTACTTATTTGAACATCTTTCCAAAGATAAATACACAATATAAATTATAATCATCTAGTTTTCATACATAAACTGAACATTGCACATTTTAATGAATCTCTTCCAACAATCGGTTATTAAACTAATGTCTGAAAAAAGTTCAAATAATTATTTGTGCTTGTCTAAGAATATCATAAGAAAAATGTGTTCTGTTGAGAAAATGATATGGAATATTTTTTAAATAGTCAATGAACATTATTTAGTTGTATCTACTATGTTTTGCGCACAGAAGCTGGTGTAAAACTGTTATCATGTAGTAAATGTATCAGATATTTAGGTGATTGAAGAAAACCTATATGAGTTAACCGAATATATACAATTTAAAAAAAAAAAAAAACAGGCTCCCAGCTAATATACAAACTAGACACTGAACTAAATTCCCATGCCTTTATACTTATTGCAAAAACTCACTGTAGGATTTGTTTATCCTTAAAAACAGATCACTGTCGATCAGAATACATGAAGGAAAATATATGAATAAGAACTGTACTAAAAAGTAAAATATCTTTCAAATGTTCTATTAGAAAGTTAATGTGATACATAGAATAAATGCAGTCATAGTCACAATTAACAGCAAATTTGTTGTTGAAATGTACCTGAAGAGAAATAAACGTTTTTCACAACGGTAGGTTTAGTAATTAGGACTCATATAACTCCACATGGAGAGTTAGAACTGACACAGACTCTCCATTATATGGCGTTGGTTTATACAGGAAAAGAGGGCTTTTCTCAAAGTTAGAGATGAATGATATATCAGGACAAAACTGTCTAGAACAGGAATACAATTACAAATGTAGGATAATTAACACATGTGCCACACTAACAAAGACATACGGAGATATTACATTCTATCATACATAACAGACACTAACCACACCAACTGCTAACATTGTTAAACATGAATATATAAAGTATACATAGCAACTGTAGGGTTTCAGCTTTGTTTGAATGACTGGCAGCAGACACTCGCCTTGTTGCTCTCTCTCAAATCTCCCAGTCATATACAGTACCTGTGCATGGTAAGAGAATGGAGGAAAATACATGACAGTTCGCCAACCATTGATCAGTATGTAGATCTTCATCACTTTGTGCATAGAATTTAATTAATTGAAAATTATAAGAAAGAACAAAAGAAAGAAAAAGCACATGTTTGTATCCTGGGGTTCACAAGTAAGACTCATTTTTAATGAAAGCATAAACATTTTGTGACCATGTCAGTTTTTTTAATGTAATATGCCCTGTGTATATAATGAAGTTAAAAGAACGTCTGTTTGCCAAGTGCTCTTACCACGTACAGTGATGCATTAGAAAATGGCAGTCAGGTCATGGATTCTTGATGAGTCTTTAGGGCTTCCCCCAACAGGTAGTGCTAAGCAGACTGGTGCAGACTTGGTTCATGGAGAATGTAGCCCATGGATCAGCACAGCTAGGGTAGTGGGCCTTGACAGAGCCAGGAGGTAGGCATAACAGCCATAGGAAGTCTGAGTGAAAGCTAACAACCTGGGTGGGGCGAAGCCACGATGAGAGTATTTATACCAGCCATCTTATGAAGTGGCCATTTTAACTGAACCTAAACTTACCTGTCAGTTGTCTCTCAGGTGTTCGAGTGGCAGTAAGGGAACGCGGCATTGCGTGGTTTCAGGAGCGGATGGGCCCGCGGTGGGTTTGGAGCAACGGTCTACACGGAGGACGAGGCCCCCGTAAGGTCTAAGCAGGGAGTGCCGCCAGGCCTGGGACCAACACTGGAGACGCTCCTGCTTTATTCAGTGAGTTTGCCCCCACGAGCCTTGTATCCGTTGGTGGTGTGGGGCAGGACTTGGGTGCCCAGGGGCACGGAAGGGAACGGGCCGTGCGGGGTCCAGGCGGCAGGAGGGAATCTAGTACAGCCCCGGCTGTGGTGAAGGCCACTGTCACAGGTGGGGCTAAGGCAGCACGGGCAGCGGCTGGCTCAAGCAGTAAGGCAGGGATAAGTCTCCTGATAGGCAGGAGAGGAGTTCAGATAGCGGGGATGCAGCCCAGACTGGGCCTGGACAGTGCAGTACGGTCCGCACAGTGTCTGGTGGGGGAGAAGGCATACGGCTGCATGGAACCGGGGAGGTGGAGGAGCCGGATTGGAGGAGTCATGCAGTCAGGGAGCACAGGGAGCACCGCTGTAGGACACAGGACAGCAGGTCACCGGGAGTCCCAGGCCAGGCAAATCTTCGGAGAGGTACCGGGGATAGGATAGACGGTCCACAGCAGATTGGCGCAGCAGAGATAGGACCCCTTATAGGAGGCATTACAGCAGAGGGCGTTCAACTTCATCCGAGCATAGGGTGAGGAGCCGGAGCAGGGCTTACAGGTCACCTGACAGGAGGTATTGGAAGGATAGGCCTACCCCATACCGCAAGTCGGGCCAGGCAGCCGGATGTTTTGAGGATATAGATCATGGTCGGGAACGTGGGGAGGCTGGACGGGTGGGGGCTCCGAAGAGCAGACTACCCAGGTTGTCTTCTCCCCGCAGGTCAGCAACTCCCTCTTCTAAGGTCCTGAGGCAGGACCAGACGGCTGGATGCAGAAGTTATGGCGCTACTCCTGAACCTCGCGAGGTGGATGGAAGGATGGCGGCTCCATGGTCTTCGATGAAAGGGGGTCCTGGCGGTGAGTCTTCTTCTGTACTACACTCTGGGAATCTCTTGGATAGCTTGAGGTTTTTTCTTAACTCTTGGGCCGGCGCAGATACACAGGAGTCACAATTTAGTCGGGCGTGGGGTCCGCTGCCAGGCAGGAGTGGGGTGGCGATGACGGTTCCGGTGGCTACAGCAGACAGTGTTCAGGGCGAGACAATGGTGCCTTCGCTTGGGTCGGGGATGTTGGCAGCAGTTAGTGTGCGTACGGAGTTGATGGGCCAGATCCCCGAAGCTGCCATGCAGAATGTACATGTGTCATTTGCTGGGCCTTTGGGCTGTAATCCCAAATCGAAAGTGAAGGAGAAGATTTGGCGGGGTGATTCCTCGAGATTTTTTTAATTCCTTCCCCTGGATGAATATATTGATCTGAAAGAGGAAGATAAGAAAGATGCCAAGAAGGAGGAGGAGGAAAAGAGGTAGGGTATCAGACGATACCGAAGTCTTTTGGGAACTGGCTTCGGGCATTTTGTATTCTAGCTAGTGTCTTAGGGGAAAGTTTCCCGAGCGGTGTTCTCAATTTTTCTGTTATTTGGACGGGATATGGGAGGCTTATGGAGCTTATTGGGCCTTGGCTTGGTAGAAGAACGATGATTAGTTCCACCAACAGTTGTCAGCTAATCCCGGTATGCGGTGGGACCAGATGGACCTACTGCTTTGGATGAAATTGATGATGGCTCAGAAAACTGCGCCCTTTCAGGGCAGGGCTGGTGCGGGATTAACCTCCTCCTTGTTGGCCAGTCAGAAGAAAGGGTTCTGTTGGTCATTCAATGAAGGTCAATGCAAGTGGGGTGCCGAGTGTAAATTTCGGCGCGAATCTTCCGGCTGTGGGGGCGCCCACGACCTTAATAGGTGCTTCAAGCAGGGAAAGTCTACATCTGCCGGCGGAGCTGGGGTTCAGGCCAGTGAAGGTCGATGTGATGTTTCCTTGGCTAAGCCGGTACGGTAACCGGGGAGACGCACAATTGTTGATAGATGGGTTTTCCAAGGGGTTTTGTATTCCTTTTAAGGAAAGGGTTTTGGGTCGTTGGAATGGGTGGCTCATTCATTTGGCATGCCCCTGGCATCTGACAAAACGGTGGGTCCTACCACATTTCTCAGTTTTCTTGGGTTGGAGATTGATACAGTGGTGGGAGAATGTTGGCTGCCTAGGGATAAGTTGGCTGCACTTCGGAAGTTCATGGCAAAAATCCACAGGTCCAAAAAGATTACGCTGAGAGAATTGCAGTCTTTAATAGGCTGTCTGAATTTTGTGTGTAGGGTAATCCCCATGGGAAGGGTTTTTAGCCATTTTCTGGCAAAGGCTACTTGTGGAATTCGGTCTCCGCGTCACTTTGTCAGAGTGTCGCAGGCCATGACAGAAGATCTGTGGGTCTGGGAATCGTTTCTGCATGACATCAACGGACAGGTATTCTTTCATGAAGTGGCAGCTTCTTCGGAGGATATTGAGTTGTTCGTGGATGCTTCAGGAAGCATAGGTTTTGGGGCATATTTGGAGGGCAGGTAGTGCGCTGAGCCGTGGTCTCATTTGTAATTTGGCGTTTCTTGAGTTGTTCCCATAGGTGGTGGCTTTGGCTCTATAGGGAGACGTATTGCAGGACAAGAAAGTCATCTTTTTTACGGACAATATGGCGGTGGTTCATGCAGTTAACCACTTATCCGCTTCTTCGGTCTCGGTGGTACGCTTATTACGGCGATTCGTATTATTTTGCATGTCGTTTAATATTGTTCTTTGGGCACGTCACGTTCATCGTCTGCTGAACATGGTGGCTGATTCCTTGTCTTGTTCACAGCGGGACAGGTTTCAGATGGCGGCCCTGGGGGTGTGGGAGGATGGACAGGCCTGTCCGGAGGTGATGTGGCAGCTCGGAACGTCATGCTTGGAGGATTGATACGGAATTCTCTGACGCCTGGCACGTGCACTGCTTATGTGAAGGTTTGGGATGCCTGGGACAAGGTGGTAGGCTACACTGGGGTGTCCCAGTCAAGGGAGGGACGGTTGGATACCTTGTTGTGGTTCCTATGCCGCTTGTTTGCTCAGCGTTTGTCTCAATTGGTGATCGAGAGGAACATGGCGGCATTGGCGTTTCTGTTCAAGCTGAATGGTTGGAATGACGTGACAAAACATTTTCTAGTTCGTCAGACATTACGGGGTTTTCGGAGAGGTAAGAAATCGCTCGATACCAGGAGGCCAGTATCTTTTGAGGTCCTGCAGCGCTTGGTGGGTGTGCTGCCGGTGGTGTGTTCCTCTCCTTTTGAGGTTAGGTTATTCTCGGTTGCCTTCTCGTGGGCGTTCTTTGGAGCATTTCGGATTGTTGAACTGGGGTTGGTGGGGTTCAACATTCAGATGTCGAATTACGGACCGATAAGGTAGTGATTTGGTTGGGCCGTACAAAAACAAATGTGTTTGGTAAAGGTTGTGTGGTAATGCTATATTCCCTGCCTGGGTCAGGAATATGCCCGGTTTCATGTGCATCACACTACATGGAGTTTCGCCTGGACATCCCGGGTGGTTTTCTGGTACATGGGGACGGATCCGCTCTGTCGCGATTCCAATTTCTTTGGGTTTTTTGGATGGGCTTGATGATGTTGGGTTTGGATCCCATGCACTTTGGGACCCATTCTTTCCGGATGGGGGCGGTGACAGAGGCGTCATGCCTGGGTTTAAGTGAGAATCTGGTGAAACGTATAGGCAGGTGGGAGTCAGTACGGTTTAAGTCCTATGTACAGCCTGAATATTTGGTTTAATGGACGTGGATTTATGGGGTTGTGTTTGGCGTTCTGCCTTGTCACTAATTACATTTTCGTTTCCGGTTGGGTGGCCGGGTTGGTAGGCCACTCTTACTGGGCACAGAAGAGGGCCGCAATTCGGAGACAGGGAGTGCAGCCGGGCTTTCCTCTGGAGTTGGTGATGCTGGAGTGTTTTGGTTTTCGGGGTTTTGGTTGGCAAGGCATTATTGGGGAAATTTTCTGGAGGGTGGCAAGGGACACTGTTCCGGAGATATTGGTAATCCAGGCTGGTGGTAATGATCTGGGCATGGTCCCAAAAAAGGAATTGGTCAGATACTTCAGGAGGGATGGTGTACATCTTTCAGATGTAGGGTGTGACCTATTTAATTTGGGCCTTCGGGAGGCCTTATTCCGGTGTGGTGGGGGGCGCTCAGGAGCTTTAGGTGTTAAGTCCTGAGCTGTGGCGGGGAATGGCCAGGTTAAATCGGGGGGGTAGATGGAGAAGGAAGTGGGCATCCTGAGGTTTAGTGTGGATTAGGCAGTGTTACATGTGGTTGGTAGGTTTGAGTCCGTCGGTGGCTCCGAACCTGGGGGTGTAGTGGTGTCTTGGTACACCCTACACTGGAACTTGTGGGTAGTGGTGTCTTGGTACACCCCTACAATTGATCTGGTGGGTAGCGGTGTCTTGGTACACCCCTACAATCAATATGGTGGGTAGAGGTGTCTTGGTACACCCCTACAATTTAATCTGGTGGAAATGTGGTCATACTGGACGACCAGTTTCTGTGTTAATATATGTTATTTAGATTGTTGTCTATTGTTATTATTGTGGGGTCATTGCAAGGGGTATGTTATTTATATGGGGGTATGTTGACTTAATAAGATTTGTTGGCAATTACCCCATTTGTTATTCCTTAATTAATTAATTAATTAATTATTAATAATGAATAATTAATAAAGCGGTGGACTATTATTTCCAACAGAATAACCTGTATACATACATAAATCAGGTGGAGCTTCTTAAAATAGTAGTATAACAGATATTCTGTAAAATAAAATATAGACCATAGTGCAATATAGTAGTAAAAGTTAAATAAAATATGTATGCAGTAGATTTTCCACTCACAAGCCTGGAGTCATAATCTCATATGACTCGGATGGTGTGTGCCTTTGGACTATTCCAGGATGTCCAAAATCCTTTTTCCATGCAAGACTCTGCTGGTGGTCACTCCCAGACAAAAACTGTCAGGTCAGCAATGGGTTTCCACAAAAAATATAATTTTATTCCAAATCAAAATAAAAGAATTATATAAAAATGAATAAAAGTTCAAATAGGGCTATATAGTCCTTTAAAGTCCTTATAGAATTGCCAAAACGCGTTTCGCCTGATACCACAGGCTTCCTCAGTCGGCTTTGTGATCTTCTACTCAGTTTCTCAAATTTTAAAAAGTCCGCTTTTTTTCCCTCTTCCGGGTTCCGGGTTGTATCTCTATGGAACGCAATTATGCGTTCCAGTGACGTCACTTCCGGTTTCGTCACTTCCGGATCCCATTTTCCGTCGACCTGGAACGCATTTACTTCTCTTGTATCACTTCCGCGTTCCGGTCTCGGTCAGTTGGAACGCATAATGCGTTCCACTGACGTCATCTCTCGGCATCTCTATTGTTTTTAAAAACGAACTGCACAATTTTCAACAAGTTTATGTATTTATCATAAATATATTTGTATATTGTTACTGGCACCATATTATGCATATATATATGTGTTTTATTGAATTCTATATGTGCATTTGAAATTACTGCTTTGCATGCTGTAAAAATATTATACTAAGATAATTATTTGCAAATATCTTTAGCTTTTGAAAGTGTCTATGCAATATACAAAACATATTGTCTGATAATGTTTTACAAAGAGAGCATGATATCGATATATGAAAATATTCTTCCATTGTATAAGTGGTCTAAACTTTAAAGTGGTGATGTGCCTTAAAGTGCTCTTCTATATTTTTAAAGTGCTCTTGTGATATTTCAAAATGAATGTTCAAATGAATACCATTTCAAAAACTATAAAAATCAAAATACAATATCAAAATAATGTTCTTCCTTAAAATATGATGGTTAAAACTATTATAATATATTGGAAATCCTCTATTGTAGACAGGGATATTATAAAATGTATAAAAATGGTTTATGAAAAATTATAAAAAATATATGTGTATGAAAATTAATAATATAGGGGAGCTTAGTTCATGAAATGGCATAGTTCAAAATCTTGGTTTAGACCATGTGGTGCCATAGTATTAAAATTAAAAATAAATTTCATTTCTTCTATTCCTATTTTTTTAATATAGTCTCCTCCTCTCCAGTCTTTCTTAACTAATTTTACTGCACAGAAGAATAGTCCTTCTGGATCTTGGTTATGGAATATTTTAAAATGGTTGGAGACACTATGTGACTCCAATCCATTTTTAATATTCCTCGTATGCTCTGCTATTCTCGTGTTTAGACATCTAATAGTTCTTCCTACATAAAGGAGATTACACTGGCACTTCAGGACATAAATAACTCCTTTAGAATAGCAACTTAAGTGGTCTCGAATTTGGAACTGTTGGTTTATCCATGGTTTCATGTCCGTTATGTGACGTTTCCTACTTTTAGTATTTCTGCATACCAGACACTGGCCACAACCATAAAAACCTTTACTTTGTTTTAAAAAAATTTTTTCAACCAAAGTTTGTTTGTTACTACTTTGTACTAAAGTGCTTCTTAGATTTCTTGCTCCCCTATAAATAATCTTAGGTTTATCTGGCAAGATACTTTTTAAAACCGCGTCATCTTGCAAGATATGCCAATATCTATTTATGATCTTTTTAACTTTTTTATGATTTCCACTAAAATTACAGACAAACGGAACATCGTTATTCCATTTTTGTTTCCCCTTTTTGTCTTTATATATCAAAAGATTTTTTCTGGGAATTGAACGGACCTCTTCTAGAGTTGTCTGTAAATCTATTTCTGTATAGCCTTTTTGTAGAAATTGGGTCTTTATTCTCTCTGCCTGTAGTAAATAGTCCTCATCATTCGTGCAGTTGCGCCTAATTCTTAAAAATTGTCCTCTAGGTGCATTTTGTAACCAGGGTGTATAGTGGCAGCTCTCTTTTTGAATTTATCCGTTTGCGTCCACTTCTTTGAAATGATTCTTCGTAGTGATGCAAGTATTCTTAATATTAATATCAAGATCTAGGAAGTTGATATTTTCTTCACTTATCTGTGCTGTTAAAACGATGTTCCATTCATTGTTATTTAAAAAAGTGATAAAAATATCTAATTCTGTTCTAGTTCCCGTCCAAATAAAAAATATGTCATCGATGAAACGATGATAGCACACCAAGTCCGCTCCCCAGGCATGCCCTCCATACACAAAATGTTCTTCCCAATATGCCATAAACAAATTCGCGTAGCTGGGAGCGAACTTGGTGCCCATCGTCGTTCCCCGAATTTGTAAATAAAAGATATCTTGGAACCAAAAAAAATTATTGGTTAAAATCAAGTGGATCCCTTCTAAAATATATTGAGTTTGTTCTTCTTTAAAACTATGTTTTCTTAAAAAATATTGTACAGCTTCCAATCCAATTTTATGAGGTATGATGCTATAGAGGGAGGTTACGTCACACATGACTAAAAAATTACCCTCTTTCCAAGTGGTCTCCTCTAAAAGTTTTAAAATATGTATAGTGTCTTTTAGGTAAGCAGGATTGCACACTACTAAAGGTTGTAACAATTTGTCCAAGTATTCAGATACCTTAGCTGAAACGGAGTCGATTCCAGATATTATTGGTCTACCGGGTGGATTTTTTCTATCTTTGTGCACCTTCGGTAGATGGTAAGAATAACCTGTGTCTGTGTCTTAATGAGGGTTTGAGTAAGGTTAGTGCATATGCCGGCATTTCTGTGCATTTTAACCCATAGATTTGTACAAGAACAAATAGTTGAGCTAACACCTATTTTAACTGGTGACAAGGTGTCTGACAGTCTGAGCACACAGCATGAATTACAATGCTACTGATGATTATCCTATGAACCGCATTTTTGTGCCAACGGTGTAATTGAATTGCCCTTATAAGTATGTCGGTAATCAAAGAACTGATAATCCCAATTAATGAGTAACAGTGGAGTATCATAGCCTTTGAGTTTTTACTGTAAAAAAAAAAAAAGATTTTCCCAGTAACAGGCATTTTTTAATGTTTTTTTTGTTTTTTTTTATACATTACTCTTAGGTTTTCCTCCTCACTGGTATTTTAAGGTACAGCCTGTATTTGAGGCTGCCTGGCCGTGCTGGTATTGCAGTATTACCGGCAATACAAATGCAAATATTTTTCTCAGTATAAACCAGGGGTTCTCAATGTTAGTCCTCAGGACCCCCTACCAGTCCAGGGTTTAGGGATTACCTGGGTGTGTCTAAGGTGTTTAGAAAAAAAAAACACCTTAGAGTCTAAGGTGTTTTCTCCCCTTTTTCTAAACACCTGAGACACACCCAGGTAATCCCCAAATCCTGGACTGGTAGGGGGTCCTGAGGACTGGGTTGAGAACCCCTGGTAGAAACGGTGATTACTCTGCAATACCAGCACCAGCCAGTAGGGGGTCACTGTGTATGGAGAGAGAAAGGGATAGGAATCTACAGCATATCCCTCCCTGCCTCTCTCTACTCACTGGTACACAGGGGAACAGCTACACAGTACAGATAGTTCAGACAGCAGCTCCCAGCCTGCAGAGACAGACTACAGCTCAGGGAAGTGAGGGATGAGGGGAAAGGCATCAGGGAGACATGGGGACACTGAGACACTAGGGGACACTGGAAGACGTGGGGACACTGAGAGACATGTGGACACAGACACATGGGGACGCTGTGAGACATTGGTAGACACATTGGGACACATGTCTCCCAGTGTCCCCATGCCTCCCAGCCAGTGTCCCTAGTGTCTCAGTGTCCCCATGGCTCCCAGTATCCCCATGCTTCCCAGCCAGTGTCCCCATGGCTCCCAGTATCCCCATGGCTCCCATTGTCCTCATATGTCTGTGTCCCCATGTCTCCCAGTGTCTGTGTCCCCATGTCTCTATGTCCCTAGTGTCTGTGACCCTGTTTCTCCCAGTGTCCCCAAATGTCTGTGTCCCCATGTCTCTCAGTGTCCCCATGTCTGTATCCACAAGTGCCCCTATGTCTCCCAGTGTCCCCAAGTGTCTCAGTACCCCCATGTCTCCAAGTGTCTCAGTGTCCCCGTGTCTCTGTGTCCACATGTATCCTAGTGACACGGGACACACTGAGACATGGGGACACTGGGAGAAATGGGGACACAGACACTGGGAGACTAGGGGACTGGGCAACATGGGGACACTGATGCCAGGCTGACCTTCCAATTCTTTGGACAGACATACCCCCTTTTTGGGCATGTTCGCCCCTTCTGGCAGTTCTAGTCATGTGATTCGCATCAGCGGCCTACTCTTTTACCCTACCCATTGGCTTCCTGCTTCACTGGACACTGCTGTTGGTATGGATTTACTTGAAAGATGAAAGCATAAATTAGATAAAAAGGTTAGCTTAAAGTATGTGTTAGCTGCATCCTTTGAGTTTCCCTCCAACACCAACTCCATCAGATACATGATGCTTGAGAGGTATGACTGTTTTAGTGTTTTTCGTCGATAAGATTCTGTAATTAGGCCCCATCATAATTGTCAGCACCAGGTCTTACATTTTTTTACAATAGGTTTGTGATTAAAACATATTGTAGGGCTAGGGAAAGCTCAGCTCTCACTGGAACACAACTCCAGAGGCTTCATGATGTGTTTTGAAGTTCAGAAACAATCTGAATACAAATATAGCCAGACTGCTATAGATTTTCTATTCAGTTGATGCCTGATAGTGACTTAGTTGTAGAAAAGTTGTGTAGATATGATGATTTAAATGAACAGGTCGTATGCTTTTTTAAAGTGTTACAAGATTGAGGGGGGGCCACCAATGTTTCCTCTAATTTTTAGCAGTTGGTATAGGCAGAAATATTTTGTTGTGCAACATTGTTTCCTGTTACATAAGTATATGTGCACTGAATGCTTGTGCAAATGTAAACCTGAAATTTTTCAAAATAATTTTTACAGTGTCTCTCTTATTGCTGATAAAATTACATTACTATGTTTAAATATAATACAAATATGATTGAAGGCTAAATTATTATTGCCCACGTGCTCACATTTCATAATGCCCACATTAATGGCACATTGCCCAAATTCCACATTGCCTCCATTTTATTATGCCCATGTGATCACTCTAATGCCACTATCATTGTCCTTGATAGTGGTTCATTCTACGGCCTGACATAACTTGATGTGACCTGTAGTGTAGGTCACCAACAATTTGAGTACCAAAAATAGGTATGACTGGTGAGTGGACTCTGACAAGTGTTGGACTCATCCATCGATGCCACATTGACTTCACTTTACCAGCATTGCCTCATGAATCTGCGCTGTGCTCCCTTACACACACCACAAGGCTCTGTGATTCTCAGCCCTCTCCTGCTGGATATGCTCTCATGGGAGCATGGCTGAGATGCACAGAACCAGTAGTCCATCTTAGACCTGTCATAGAATATGTTAACAACATCTACTGTAATAAACCCTACTACATGCATTTCTATGAAAGTTTGGCAATGATTCATGAGTCGTAAGTCCAGCAAATCTCTAAAAAAAAAAAAAAAGCAGAAAGCACACAAACAGTTAACAATCTATTAGCTTGTAGTAAAAGGAGACAGATAATTGGCTAATTCAGACAGTCAATCATATTAGCTGGGATGTAAAATGTGGGAATAAGATGTTTCAGTGGTATTGTTTGATTGCTCTATATTAATGTAAATATAAAATGACTTTATATTACTTTTTTCAGATTCAGATATACGCCTCCCTTAAGGAGCATTTTTGGAAGATGAACCTAATTTATTGTAGTTGGCCAGGAATCATCTCTAGCTGTTTTGGGATTTTTTATATTGAGGTATTGGAGAGCAAATCGGTACTGTTTATGCTAGCGGACTATAATACACCATGTATTTATAATCTATTTCTCTTTTCCTGCCACTACTGTGCATAGTATGTGTAGGTAGAACCCATAGAAAGAGCAGCCTTTAGATTTTCCTTTAGGTAGGTACGAATTCCCAGCAACCCTGTAAGAATATCTTCTGTTATACTTTAACTTCACTTGAATTGATACTGGGCAATGAGCTGCATCATATTTAAGACTATAACTTATATAGAGTAACTATGAGAGTTTTGCAGTTTTTTGTTAATTGGTGGCTAAATAGTTTATACCTGGAGTAAGTGACACTTTTGTGCTACACTTTCGTTAAAGGGTTACTCCAATCACCATTACCACTTCTGCTTTAAGATGGTTACAGTGGTTGGAATCTGTACATGCAGCAATTCTGCTGGACATCCAAATAACTTTACACTTTTGTGCAGGAAGCTAGTTGCACACATGACAGGTAGTCTAAAACCTTTTCCAAACTGCCTAATGTCAATCCAGAAAAAAGAGAGAAAGCTGCAGGTAGCTACTAGTGTGTATAGAAGCTATCTTAAGGACAGATTAGAGGGGGTAAAACCCTTCACAAAAATTTAAATATAGAAAAAGAGAGAACATAATCTGTCCTGGTTAGATAAGATCCTTAATAAACTTGACACAGAAAATCTAACGTTTAATAGATATTCTTAAAAAAAGAGAGCACGGGAATACAGGGGGTTGGAGGAATATATACAGGGGATAGAAGTATATACAGAAAGGATTGCTCAAAGTAATAGGTACCTTTTCTAGGAAGGTGAAGAGGAGAATAATCAATAGTGAATTCTCCAAAATGTAACCATAAATTAATCAGTTGTGTGAACTGCAGATCAGGCAAATAGTTACTTTTCAATAAAGTCAGTGACTTGAGAAAAGTAACTATCTGAAAGTATATATATATATATATATATATATACATATATATATATATATATATGAAACAATAGTAGGAAAGGTAAATAGGTAAATAGGGAAGACATATTTGATAAAGCCTCTTTGCAGGAGAAACGCGTTAGTGTTTTTAAAGCTGTTTTATGTTACTGATTTTTTTTTTCTCCAATAAGGATAGCCCATTTATGCTATTGGAGCCTCCAAGCCTATCCTTTTATTTTATTTTATTTAAAAAAAAAAAAAATTATTCCTTTCAACTCTCTCCAACACCCCCACTGAAGGACTCGAGGAGTAATATCTTTTGTGGGAATCATACCACCTATGCCTACATATATTGAGCAATATCCCATTTGCTCTTCCATTGTGAGTATACCTCCATCTTTTATCATTTTATTCTGTATCATCCAGAGAGCACTATTTTATGTTTCTATCCTCTTTTTTATATATCAACAACTATTCGAATACCGGCCCACTGCTATTGGAAAGTTGATATACCCTACTACCTCCGGAGACACCCTTTTGAGAACATTCAAGGACCATCTACATATCCACAGACGGGGATTATACCGTCCAGGCGCACATATCTGGAGCTGAGTATAAGCTCCAGAAAATTGTAAGTGCGATTCCTTTCCCTTCATTTACTATCACTTAAGATTCTTACATACTACATTATATCCGTGTCTTTTTCCTTCCCTCCTCTATATCGCTCTGAGTGTGGGAATTCCATCACAGGCACTGCTCCCTGATCCTACTATTTACACCCGTCGTACCACCAGAAAAGAAGAGACTCTGGTTTTTGGGAAGTTTCAGCAGCCACATACTATAATTAAAAGTACTGATATTCCACCTACCCCTCTATTCATAAGACAAAGTAGGGACTACTTTGTTTTACGTATTTTTTCTACTCTCGACCTTCTTTGACCCAAGAAAGAGTTTAACTTCGCTTCATTTCCTGTGGTGAAAGAAAATTTCCCACAATACGCACCCTCCGTGATCTCATGTTGCTTCATTTGCTATTCAAACGTCCTGTTAGTTAGACAGGGCGTCTGCAAATTTACCCAATTTCGCCCTAACAGAATGAGTACAGTTTGTCCATTTGTGTTAGGACAAAATTTGTGCATTTTATTCAGTTCAAAAATGTCATTTAAACGAATGAAATTCTGATCGGATTCATACTGTGGCTGCACGTTATTAGGGAGCTATCTACTAAAAGGCTTAAAGCCAACTTTACTAAAACTAAGTAAAAATTACTTACTATTAGTAAATAAGATAAGACCTTCTACCCCTACTCTCTATGCTGTGATTAGGGGCATGTCTACTAAACAGTGAGCAGCCTGTGAATAAAAGCAGGAGGGTATTTAGCGCTTGTCCAGTGCTGGTACAGTCCAAAGGGCAGCTAGGTCACCAAATCCAGTGTCTTGTCCTGTAGAGAAGCAGATAAAAACAGAGAGAAACACTTTTGAGAAAGCCATAGTATGATGTATTTAAATATTGTTTTATATAGTTCTTTTACCCTATTTTTTTTTATCATTTATTGTTTTTTTATCAATAAAATTACTTTTTTATTGGACCTGTTTGCTGCTGGATTCCTGTACTCCATATCCTTGGTGGGGATAATACCACCTAAGCTTGTTGTACAGAGCAATATTGAGTCTGGCATATTGCACTATATATCTCTTATTTCTCCTACATATCTGCAAGAGAAGCTGTATCCACAAGAACCTCCTATAGAGTCTGTATTCCACCATATCCTCAGGCGGGAATTATTCCGCCCAAGCGGAGCTGCACCTAAGCTCCTATAAAGTGTGAGTGCATATCATTTTATTTACCCTCACCTTACTGTATTTTTTATGTATTTCACTATGTTTCCTATTTCTCCTCCTTTTTATGGTTATATATACACACCCCAAGGACATTCCAGGCGCTGCACCTCCCTCTCTGTTTTTAGCAAGCAGCCACAGGCTGTTGAAAGGAAAAAAACAACCCCTGCCACTCCAATAAAGTGCCCCATGTTGTGGGCAGATGACATGTCCCACAGGGCCTTCATCTGCCCACACAAAGATGGCAGCGCCCAGGACCTATATCCAGGCATAAAAAAAAGATTTCATTTAAAAGGTAAAATGGGGGGCCTAGGGGAATTTGGAGGTTACTAGAGGCACAATAAAATGCATTGAAGTTGGGAAGGGGGATTAAAAAAAATGCATGCAACCATGACAGTGACGCTTTAAGGATTAGCTTCCCAAAAACTAGCTTAAGCCAGATCAAGCTTTTGTGTTTTTTGCTTAGTCCACATCGGACACATCGGACATCATTGTGTGATTTTGGTTACTAACCTTTTTTTTTGTAAAGTAGCCTTATTTTTGTCTGGACGAACTCCCCTAGGTGTTTGTTAGCAAAGTGTGTCTGTGGCGGTCCCTGCCTTGATTCTATGAGCTACCAAAGCCCTTTTTATCCCTTTTTTGATGGGATTATTTTATAGGATCTTGCTGGCCCCAAAATGTTTATATTGATATTAACAAATATTACACCTCTGCTCATCTTGGGCAGGGCTCATTATTGAGTTTTAAAGATTCATATAATGGTAATATCAGGACAAGAGGTTTTAAGTGGGAAGTTGATATTCTTAATCTCCTTAAAATAGCATGGGTGGCGTGGAAGTATAGGCGGTAACCATGAGTATGGCGTGGGTTTTGGCAACCACCCTTTACTAGATCTGCAGATGATTGTATAATAAGGGCATGCTTATCACATGTCATTGTAACCACAAAAAAAATCCTAAAGACATTCATTAACAGCATGAATTTTGTATCAGCAAAATTGGGATGCAACAGACCACAGCTCAGTTGCAGTGACTCAGCAAGCTACAACGTGACAGCGACGTGAGAACCTGAATGGAATTTTGTGCTTCATTGCACTGCTAGCAGTATGTGTTCTGAGCACTAGAGAGCAAATCAAACGTTTGTTAAATCATCTATCAGGTCAGAAAGTAAGTGCACCATGAACCCTGTCTCCTTTTTGTATGGGGGTTGCTTTTTTATATGTAAAACAGTGTTTTGTACATTACATAATTTTAAAAAATGTAACGTGAAGCAAACAGTGTGCTAAAACCTTGGAGTGCATGTACAAACATGCTTAACTTTCAGTTTGCCTCATGGAATAGTGATTATGTCTTGTACCAGACACTTCATGTGTGCTTTGTTTGTTCACAAATGAGCTTTAGGCATTAAGAAACTAAAAATAGATGTTTGCCTGTTCCAGCTGGCAAACCCATGGGAATAATGCATGAGCCTGACTAAACAGTATACGTGTTGAAAGAAATATAAAGGTATAATGAGCAAATCTACATTTATGCTGTAAATATTTAACAATAACATAATTTGCCTGATTTATGCTATATGCTGAAGTTGATTCAATAGGTCATATATACTGCTTATTGGCTTTTCAGAAAGAGATTATTATTATTATTATGGTATTTATATAGCGCCATCAAATTCCGCAGCGCTTTACAATGGGTGGACGAACAGATATGTAGTTGTAACCAGACAAGTTGGACACACATGAATAGAGGGGTTGAGGGCCCTGCTCAATGAGCTTACATGCTAGAGGGAGTGGGGTAAAATTACACAAACAGGTAAGGATAGTATTAGACTAGTGACAGTTGCAGAAGAGGAATCAGTCAGGAGCTATTAACAGTTTAATTGTTACGCTTTTATGAAGAAGTGGGTTTTTAACGATTTTTTGAAGGAGTGGAGACTGGGTGAGCATCTAACGGAGGATGGAAGCGAGTTCCACAGGAACGGTGCAGCCCTCGAGAAATCTTGAAGGCGAGCATCAAAGGTGGGAGTACGGTCAGAAGATAGACGTAAGTCTTCAGCAGATCGTAAGGGCCTAGACGGGACATACTTGTGTGTAAGGGAGGATAGATAGGTGGGAGCAGCATTATGTAGAGATTTGAAAGCAAGAACCAGAATTTTAAATTGAGCTCTATATTTTATAGGAAGCCAATGTAGGGACTGACAGAAGGGTGAGGCATGGGAGGTGCGGGCAGACAGGAAGATGAGCCTCGCTGCCGCATTCATTATGGACTGTAACAGCACAAGTTGGGAGCACGTAAGACCACTGAGAAGTGGATTACAGTAGTCAAGGCGAGAAAGGACAGTGGAATGGACCGACACCTTAGTCACATCTAGTGTTAAGTAGGGGCGGATGCGCGCAATGTTTTTGAGATGGAAATGACAGGATTTGGCAATAGATTGAACATGAGGCTTGAAGGAGAGGTCGGAGTCAAAGAGCACACCTAGGCAGCGAGCCTGTGTGGTGGAGCTGATGGTAGCACCATTGACTTGGAGGGAGACAGACACAGGAGTAACAACAGTTGAGGGAGGAAAGACCAGAATTTAAATTTTGGTCAAGTTTAGTTTAAGGAAGTGGGCAGCCATCCAGTTAGAAATAGCAGAGGGGCACTCAGAGACACTAGTCAAGAGGGACAGGGAGAGATCAGGAGAGGACAGGTAAATTTGCGTGTCATCTGCGAGCAATGATATTGGAAGCCAAAGGAGCTAATGAGTTTACCAACGGAGGCAGTATAGATGGAGAACCAAGGACTGAACCTTGGGGGACACCAACAGAGAGGAGTTGGGGAGAAGAAGCAGAGCCAGAGAAAGAAACACTGAAAGAACGATGGGAGAGGTAGGAGGAGCAAAGGAGAGAGCAATATCTTGTAGACCAATATTGCGGAGGATGAGAAGAAGCTGTTGATGATCAACAATGTAAAAAGCCACAGACAGGTCAAGGAGAATTAGGATAGAGTAGTGACCACGAGATTTTGCAGCGAGTAGATCATTGGATACTTTGGTCAGTGCTGTTTCCACAAAGTGCTTAGCGCAGAAACCAGACTGAAGTGGGTCTAGCAGAGAGTTGGACTTGAGGAAGTCTGTCAATCTCGCATACACAATTCTTTCAAGGATCTTGGATGCAAAAGGCAGTAGCGAGATAGGATGATAGTTGGATGGGGAGTTAGGGTCAAGATTGGGCTTCTTTAGAATTGGGGTTACAGTTGCATGTTTGAAGGGCGATGGAAATATGCCAGAGGAGAGAGAGAGATTGAGAATTTAGTGAAAGTTGGAGAAAGAGAAGAAGACATAGTACGGATGAGATGCGAGGGAATTGGATCTAGGGAGCAGGTGGTGGGGCGGGAGGACTGGAGCAGAGCAGAAACCTCTTCCAATGTAGCGGGTGCGAATGAACATAGAGTCGCAGAGGGAGTGAAGTTAGGGAAAGTATTGTAAGGGGAAGAAGAAAGATGAGAGTTCTCTTCTCTGATTGTAGAAATCTTGTCAGTGAAGTGAGTTGCAAAGTCTGAGGTGGTCAAGTTAGTAGGTGGAGGAGTAACAGCAGGGCGAAGAAGAGAGTTAAATGTGTGAAATAGTCCTTTGGGTTCACGGTAGAGTGTGGTTATGAGGATATTGAAGTAATTAACTTTTGCAGAGGAAATAGTAAAGCTGTATGAGCTCAGCATAAATTTATAGTGGAGAAAGTCAGATTCACAGTGAGACTTTCTCCAACAGCGTTCAGCAGTTCTGGAGCATTTTTGGAGGTATCGAGTGAGCTTGGTGTGCCAGGGTTGTTGTTGGGGGCGCCTGTGGCGTTTAAATATTCAAGGTGCCATGATGTCTAGTTGAGAGGAGAGAGCATAATTAGATCCAAGTGTCATGAAAATGGGCATAAATGTCACCAAAAGCCTTGGCAGATTTCATTAAATGGCGGTCATAAATAAGTAAGAATGATGATGTGATATTTGTATCCCAATCATCCTTTACATCAGGCATAGTCAACCTTTGCCACTCCAGATGTTGTAGACTACATCTCCCCTGATGGTTTGCTAGCATTTTGGCTGTAAGAGGATTATGGGAGATGCAGTCCACCACATCTGAAGGTTCCCTACCCCAGCTCTACATACATACTCACTACATGCATGGCCTAAATCTGTCCAACTCTTGTCTGGCCAGTCTGGCTTCTCCAGTAGTGATGCAAATTAACCCCTTACAAAACACTCCAAAATTCGACCTGTCTACACTGAAGCTGTAGTATGCTGTGTAAGTGTAGAAACAAATAAACTTTCTTTTCTATCTTCAGGATTTTTGCAGGCTTGCAGAGCACTAATGATTGCTGCTGTATGCCTGGGATTTTTTGGGTCTATATGTGGATTTATCGGCATGAAATGCACAAAGATTGGAGGAAGTGACCAAACAAAAGCTAAAATTGCTTGCTTAGCTGGTCTCTTGTTCATATTTTCAGGTGAGTGTTCTAACCGGTAACAGCTACTAGATAAACTAGAATTATAAGAAAATGGATTTAAATGAATGACTGAAATCAATGAAATTTTAGCACTTCTCAGACCGTGCATTCAGGAATCCAGCTGTAGCCGTGAGTCATAAGTTTATTTCCTGCTGCTGAGGACGTATGAGCATGTGTTTCCCTGTTATATTTTAAATTCACTTGCTTGATCACGATCTATCTGCCCTACTGAAAACCCATTGTATGTGCCAACCACTCTATAAGAAACAAACATGTATTCCTAATACTATATTGTTCTCCTCTCTGTTTAGATTCAGACTCCCCCCCAAATTATTTTTTTTTTAAAGGGAAAAAAAGGTCTTTAGCTTTCTTTTTCCCCAGGGTCGCGACTCACTCTGTACAGCCTCCTGCTCCTCCTCCGGCATTGCTGCATTATTTTCTTGTCCAATCCAGTGCTTCACCTAGAGGAGCATTGAGGACAAAAAGTACATGTGCAGTTTTCCAATTGAATGCCTTCTATAAGAACCATTCAGAGAAAGTGATGTGTGAAAACCAAGTTTGACTCGGCTCTCACAGTAATAATGGTGGATATCAGGAAGGCAGTCAAGAGGAGTGTTCAGCCCTTGAATGGAAATATTGCTGTATATATTAAACAGCAATGTTTTACAGGGCAGGGCTGAAATAGAGGCACTGCCGTTCTTAACTTTTTATCGGGAACCAAGGACCTACATGTGGTTTTACACTTATAGTATCAGGAATACATGTTTGTATTCTGGAAAATATAGTGCTCCTTTAAACATTTCCTGCTTTGATGTCTCATTGTGTCATCCAAAACATTTTCAACAATTTAGTAACTTTCAGTATTTTGTGATACATTTTTTCATGCGCAAATTATGATTTTTAGTAGTACTTTAAGTTAATTCTAACTTACTAACATCCTTCTAAAGTATTTGCAGAGTTGGGCTTCTCATTTCTGACCAGTGAAAGAATAACAGCGTTTCTTTACATTACAGCAATATCTGAACCAAACGATGGGCAACGGCCAGAACTAAATGTATCTGTTCCATGCAAATCGGTCCAAACTCTCTAGAATTGTATATAAATCTTAGGTGGTGACCTTACACGCAACATCAGTGATATTAATTCTTCCTTTTACAATTTACACTGTGTTATATAAGACACATATTACAAGTCATTGAAGATGTCATGAGTGCCTTAAAGGGGAACTGTCACTGCCCGATATTTTTATAATTATGTTTATTTATCCTCTAATGTAACAAATATGGATTTATGAAGCATGGAAAATAAAACAAAATGTAGGAATTCACACCTCTTTATGTTGAAACTGGTGCCTTTGTTTTTTGTTTTGTTTTTACCAGTTGTTTTATTTTCTTTTAAATTTATATTAATGATATAGCAAGTGACATCATAATCCAGTTCACACAAGCCAAAATATTGAATAAATGAAAATAAATAGCTCTCTGTCAGTGTTTGTTATAAGCTTTATTCTTTCCTCTTGGCAGTTAGCATTAGGAATGCATTCATAGAAAGTGCGAAATGAAACAATATTTATTTTCATTTTTTATTTATTCAATATTTGCCCGGGCTTTGGTTTGTGTGAACTGGATTATGATGTCATTTGCTACATCATTAATATAAATTTAAAAAAAATAAAAAATAAAAAACTGGTAAAAAAAAAAAGTTAACAGAAGTTTTTATTCCATTTTTATTCAATGGTATGACACTTGCTCTATAAAAGCATAACTGAACTTTGACTATTATAACAAAATGACCAAAGGCAGGTAATGGGTGGTTGGTTGGATAGATGGATGAATACATGAATGAATTAATGAATGATGTGTATCACAAGTGAGCACTTTCACTGTTTGACAATTGACAGATCTTCTGAGCTGGCATTGGATTTCTCATACAGGATCATGATTGCTACAATGCAAAGAATGACATTTAAAAAAAAAAAACACAAGTCAATTATGACCAGCTTTTGCATTACAAATGTTGGAAGGATGATACCAGCAAGAATCCAATTTCCATTTATGAACAGGGAGATGCTGTTATTTCAAGCTTCATTTTCAGATCCCTCAGACATGTAATACATTTGTTTCAACCTACTATTTTGCAGGTTTGTGCTCCTTAACTGCTTGTTCAATTTATGCTCATAAAACCACCAGTGAATTCTTTGATCCATCCATACCACAAAAGTGAGTGTCCTCTTCTTATCATAATATTACAATTATACAAACTACATAGTAATCTTACCCTTACCTAAACATATACCTTATAAATCTTTAAGAAGGCATATGCTGGCTTCAACAATTTATTCAATAAACGCCACATTGCAGCAAATTAAAAGGACAAAATCTAAACAGCATATAGAATGATTAGCCTCAACATTAAAACCTCCTGCTTGATATCATGTAGGTCCTCCTCGTGCTGCCAAAACGGCTCGAGCCATGGACTTTACAAAACCTCTGAATGAGTTCTGTGGTTTCTGGCACCAAGACATTAGCAGCAGATCCTTTAAGTCCTGAACAATGTTTGCGGTGTAGCAGGGTGCATTATACTCTTGAAGGCCACTGCCATCAGGGAACATCATCGCCATGAAGGTGTGTACGTGGTCTGCAACAATCTTTACATAAATGGTATATGTCAAAGTAACTAACATCCACATGAATGCCAGGACCTAGGGTTTCCAAGCAGAACATTGCCTAGAGCAGGGGTAAGCAACCTTTTAGCAGCACTGTGCCGATATAGGATTCTGATGTCCTGTAGCGTGCCGGTCCTATTTAAAAAAAAATTAAAAATTTAATTGACGGGTGTATGCTGCCGTATTCTGCTTGTGTTATTTATACTGTAATTGCTTTGTATCGTTGTATTTGTGCGTATATGAGCTATTATATTGTATATGTTCATGAGTAGATTGTGGTATCGTGTATGATACATATGAATGTGGGCTGTGTATGGGGGCAGCTTGTGGAATTGTGTGTGTGGATGGATATGTCACATTGTGTGTTTAGTAGTGTGTGAATGTGTGGGGGCTGTTTGGGGTATTGCATGTGAGAGGCTGCATATGGGGTTGTGTGCATGTATGTGGATTGTTAGTGGTGTTGTGTTTGTGTGGATTTTGTGTACGTTTGTGTGTGGGCTGTCCATATTATTTGTATGAGGGGAGGGTCTTTCTGCATTTCTGTGTATATCTAGCAGTGTGGGTGGCTTCCCTGGGTTCCAGTGGGGACCATGTTGGCCAGGTACAGGTAAAGGACAGGAGCTGCAACAACAACTGTGAGCTGCTCTACTACTGTGTGGATTACCATTCACAAGTGCTGGAATGAAGTGCTCTGAGATCACTTCCTCTACGTGCTGCAATGCATAAATTGAGGATTTTCCTTCACCACCTCTTCGTATTAGCAGATATCTGAAGTTTTACTGGGACTCCTGATAGGCCAGAGCCTGTTTGGCTCTAGCAGCCTTGAGTGCCATGCATGGCACTAGTGCCGTAGGTTGCCTACCCCTGGCCTAGAGCATAACACTGCCTTCCCCGGCCTGCCTTCTTCCCATAGCTCATCCTGCTGCCATCTCTTCCCCAGGTAAAAGACGCACATGCACCCATCCATCTACGTAACCTAAAAGAAAATGTGATTCATCACACCAGGCAACCTTAAGCGGCACTGTCATGCCGAACTTACCTTTCCTCAATCGCTTCCTCTTCTCTCCCTCTCTGGGGATCTGTTCTTCTTTTCTTCCCATCTAATCTATTTTTCTTTAAAACATAAGACAAAGTAGGATCTTATGTATATTTCCAACGCCTGACCAGCTCTCACCTACTTTCTGTGGGTCAGAGAAATTGTCCCACAATACTCATCCTATCCTCCTTCATCTCGCGATGCCTGCTTTCAGTATTCCCGAAAGTCCTGTCATTTAGACAGAATGCTGGTGAAACTACCGAATTTCGTTCTAACAGAATAAGAACAGTTTGTTCATTCATGTTAGGATGATATTCTTATTGTAATTTAGGTCCCCCACCTGCCGCTCATTGGTGGGGGCTGGGGCAGCACTAGGTCCCCCCCCCTTATTGTCATTTAGGGCCCCCACCCGCAGCTCATGGGTGGGGGCCAACGGGGACCCTATTTCTGCTGTTTAGTTGAATAGCGCGAGTAGGGGCATTCAGGAGATTTTTTTAGTGAGGGAGTTCATGGGGGGCTCAGGAAGTGGCGGGGAGCACAGCTCCCCACCACTTCTATTTCTACATATTACAAGGAGGGAGCTGCGAGCCGGTAGCTCCCTCCTTGTAATAAGTTTAACGAACAAACTAACACCGTCATTCGGGGGTTTGTTTATTCGTCTGACAGTTCTATTCATTAATTCGGCTTTCTGACGAATGAATAGATGAAATTCCCGTCACAATTTCAGACAATATCGAATGCCCCAGTGTTTAACTGGGCATGCATAGGAATTTCACAGCGCTATCTAGTATGGTTAGATTACGTGTCCCACAGGGCTTTCATCTACCCACACAGAGATCCAGGCACAAAATTAAGATTGAAAAGAGGTAATACGGGGTGCCTAGGGGTTTTTGGGGGTGACTATGGGGGAAATTAGATGTATTGGAGTCAGGAGGGGGGTTGGGGAGAAGAAGCAGAGCCAGAGAAAGAAACACTGAAAGAGCGCTGGGAGAGGTAGCAGGAGCACCAGGAGAGAGCAATATCTTGTGAACCGATATTGCGGAGGATAGGCATGTGCATGGGGAAAATTTTCGGTTAGGTTCGGCATTCCAAAATTCGGGACTTTGGCATTTCATCACTTCGGCAACTACAGCACTTCGACACTTTGGAATTTCGGAACTTCGGCATTTCGGAATTTTGGGACTTCAGCACTTCGGGACTTCTCTTGCAGCCGCTTAGTAGATAACTCCCTAATTCCCACAGTATTAGGGAGTTATCTACCAAAAGGCTGAAAGACCTAAATTGGTCTTTCAGCCAAATTTACTCGCTATACCGCGAGTAGGGGCATGTATATTAAACAGTGAGCAGTCTCTGGCAGCGGGTGGGGGCCCTAAAGTAAAATGATGGGGGGGGGACCTATTGTCCTCCCTCCTGGCCCCCACCCCTGAGCGGAGTGTGGGGGCCCTAAATACTAATAAGGGGGACCTAATGTCCTCCATGGGCCCCACTCCTGAGCGGTGGGTGAGGGCCATAAATTAGAATAAGGGGGGGGGCCTAATGTCCTCCCCCTGGCCCCCAACCCTGAGTGGTTGGTGGGGGCCCTAAATAAAAAATTAACCCCCCTCCCCCAGGATACTAGGGGTCCCCAAAACCCTAGTCACTCCCCTCCCCCAAAAAACTAACCCCTACCTACCCCCTCACTCTAAAAATAATGAGGGGGGGGACCATTAATTAAGTACCTGTAAAAAAAATTAAAAAAAACTTACCATTTGATGTTTTCTTTCTTCTAAAATCTTCTTTTTTCAGCCCCAAAAAAAGGCCAAATAAAAAATCCATAATAACCGACGCACTTAAAAAAAAATATATACTAATAAGGGGGTGGGACCTAATGTCCTCCCCCCTGGCTCCCACCCCTGAACGGTGGGTGGGGGCCCTAAATTAGAATGGGGGGGGAACCTAATGTCCTCCACCTTGGCCCCCACCCCTGAGCGGCGGCTGGGGGCCCTAAATAAAAAATTAACCCCCCTCCCCCAGGTCACTAGGGGTCCCCAAACCCCTAGTCACTCCTCCCCCAAAAAACTAACCCCTACCAACCCCCCTCACCCCAAATAATGAGGGGGGACCATAAACTAAGTACCTGTAAAAAAAACTTACCATTTGATGTTTTCTTTCTTCTAAAATCTTATTTTTTCAGCCCCAAAAAAGACCAAATAAAAAATCCATAATAACCGACGCACTTAAAAAAAAAAAAAATACTAATAAGGGGGTGGACCTAATGTCCTCCCCCTGGCTCCCACCCCTGAATGGCGGGTGGGGGCCCTAAATTAGAATGGGGGGGGACCTAAGGTCCTCCCCCTGGCCCCCACCCCTGAGCGGTGGGTGGGGACCCTAAATACTAATAAGGGGGGGACCTAATGTCATCCCCCTGGCCTCCACCCCTGAGCGGTGGGTGGAGGCCCTAAATTAGAATAGGGGGGGACCTAATTTGACTAATGTTACTTTCAAGCCACCAATCAGAGAGTTATGAGTCAAATTACACAGCGTGGGAAAATTCCAAAGAACTTTCCCACGCTGTGTAAAATTACACAGAGCACTCTGATTGGTGGATTTCAAGCCAACCAATCAGAGTGCTGTGACAGGTAAATGTAGAGACTTACCTGTCAGTCTCTTCATTTACCTGTCAGAGCAATCTGATTGGATGGCTTAAACCCACCAATCAGAGTGCTCTGAGCCTAATTGCAGGGCGGGGCAAGGCTTTATAAGCCTTCCCCCACCCTGCAGAGCTCAGTCTGCGCGGAGCCCTCCATGGGTGAAGATGGATTTTTTTTTTTTTTTAATGCCTCGGTTATTATGGATTTTTTATTTGGGCTTTTTTGGGGCTGAAAAGAGAAGATTTTAGGAGAAAGAAAACTTCAAATGGTAAGTTTTGTTTTTTTTACAGGTTCTTATTTAATAGTCCCCCCTCATTATTTTTAGGGTGAGGGGGGTAGGTAGGGGCTTGTTTTTTGGGGTAGGGGGTGACTAGGGGTTTGGGGACACCTAGTCACCTGGGATGGGGGGGTTATTTTTTTTATTTATTCTAATTTAGGGCCCCCACCCAACGTGCAGGGGTGGGGGCCAGGGGGGAGGACATTAGGTCCCCCCTAATTGGTATTTAGGGCCCCCACCCACCGCTCAGGGGTGGGGGCCAGGGTGAGGACATTAGGTCCCCCTTATTATAATTTAGGGCCCCCACCCACCGCTCAGGTGTGGGGGCTGGGTGGGGGCACAGGCTGCTTACTGTTTAATAGACATGCCCCTACTTGCGGTATAGCAAGTAGGGGCATAATTTACTAATACTAAGTAATCTTTACTTAGTATTAGTAAATTTGGCTGAAAGACCAATTTAGATCTTTCAGCCTTTTAGTAGATAGCTCCCTAATACCGTGGGAATTAGGGAGTTATCTACTTATTCATTCCTGTCATTACGTTGACTGGCTAAGTAACTTACATTTTATATGAATGTATGTTACTTGATTGTTGTAAGTGTTACAAATGCTTTCAGCTGAATCCTGGCTACGTTTGTATACTTTTTATTTAAAATTGTATAGAGTGTAACTTTCTTCATTCTTCCACTGGGTAAGTATATTAGTTCTTAGGCAATACTGTGGTTCGGAACTTCGGCTTTTCGGAAATTCGGTAATTTCGGAACTTCGGTACTTCGACAATTCAGCAATTCATCTATTCAGACATTCGGAAGTACCCGAATGTCCGAATTTCCCGAAATTCGTCCGAATTCACATTCGGACCGAAACAAATTGCACATGTCTAGCGGAGGATGAGAAGAAGCTGTTGATGATCAACAGTGTCAAAAGCCGCAGACAGGTCAAGGAGAAGTAGATCATTGGATACTTTGGTCATTGCCTTTCCACAGAGTGCTTAGCATGGAAACCAGACTGAAGCGGGTTTAGCAGAGAGTTGGACTCGAGGAAGTCTGTCAATCTTGCATACACAATTCTTTCAAGGATCTTGGATGCAAAAGGCAGTAGCGAGATAGGACGGTAGTTGGATGGGGAGTTAGGGTCAAGGTTGGGCTTCTTTAGAATTGGGGTTACAGTTGCATTTTTGAAGGGCGATGGAAATATACCAGAGGAGAGAGAGAGATTGAGAATTTTAGTGAGAGGTGGAGAAAGGGAAGAAGACAGAGTACGGATGAGATGCGAGGGAATTGGATCTAGGGAGCAGGTGGTTGGGCGGGAGGACAGGAGCAGAGCAGAAACCCATTCATACACACAAACTGCCTAATACCTACATTCATACACACATACTGCCTAATATATACATTGTACATTGAATACATAATTTATCATTGTGATAAATTATGTATTCAATGCATTTGGTGAATTTATAATGTAATTTATAATAAGACTAGCATAGACGAGCACAAACACTGACAGATACACATACTGACAGACACACTCACTGACAGACACACACTAACAGACATACACACACACACACACAAACTCACTGACAGACACACACTGACAGATACACAGTCACACACTCACTTACAGACACATACTCAGTCAATGACAGACATCACAGAGGGCGCACGAGGGAGGAGTGGGAAGCTGAAAGAAAATCTGCATTTATCGGCAGAACAGGCACCTGCCATCAGGACCGGTGCAAGGATTTTTAGCTACACAGGCAAAGATGCATTTTGATGCCCCCCACCCCTCCTTAAAAACAATGCATCTTTACCTGTGTGTCTCTTTGTAACCCCCCTTTTGAATTTCTTACCCTTTTTGTGCTCTAGTGTATTTTATTCCCCCTTTAGTGTGTATTACAACCCTTTTTGTATGTATCTTACTTCTCCCAGCCCATTTGTGTGTCTCTTACCTCCAGCCCCTTTCTGTGTCTCATTCTTACCCTAGCCCCTTTCTGTGTCTCATTCCTACCCTTGCCCCTTTCTGTGTCTCATTCTTACCCCAGCCCCTTTCTTTGTCTCCTTCTCCACCACAGTTCATATGTGTGGCTCTATTTCCCCTCAGTTCATTTTTTGTGTCCCTCCCCTCCAGATCCCTTTGTGTGTCTTTCCTCACAAGCCACAGGAACACAGGAATCGCTTTTCAGGCACACAGTCAAAGTCATACAGGTACACTGTCATACAAACACAGAAATAATCATACAGAGACATACAGACATACAGTCAGAGACATAAATACATCCAGACAAAGAAATACAGACAGTCACACAGAGACATACAGGCATACATACATGAATACAGAGACATACATGAATACAGAGACATACAGGCATATAGAGACATACAGGCATACAGAGACATACAGGCATACCAAGACATACATACATACAGGCATACAGAAACATGCATACAAAGATATACAGGCAAACAGAGACATACAGACACATACATATGTACATACAGAGACATAAAGCCATACAGTTACATACATGCATAGACATACATACATGCATGCATACAGAGACAAACATACATACATGCATACAGAGATATACATACATACATACATGCATGCACACAGAGCCATACATACATACATGCATGCAGAGACATGCATACAGTGACACACATACATACATGCATACATACATACAGAGACATACATACATATATACTTACACAGACATTCACAAATACATACTTACAACTATTCAACCTGGTCCCTGGGGTACATGCTGTCCGGGTCTGTGGAGTCCTGTCTTGCAGCCCAGCACAATCACTGGGCGCCAGCCCAGCTGTGTGGTACACAGGAAGCAGGGATATGATGTCATTCATATCCCCACCCCCTCCACACAGCCTGCCGACACCAGGGTAGGAGACTGGGCAGGCGGTAAAATGCTGGGCTCCGTGTAGGTAAGACCTGGGCTGAATTAACCGGCAGGAAGGGGAGCGCAGTTAGCTTACATCCTGCCAGTCAGCCTGACATTGCACCACCAGGGCCAGTGTGCCCTAAGGTCGCTGTCTGATGGTAGCGCCGGTCCTGCCTGTCATCATGGTAAGCAGGTGCCTGCTCTGCCATACTGAAGAAGCATAGCTTCGGGGGTACCCTGAGGTAGCCAGATGGCCACCTCCTGGGCCCCCTGTGACAGGGCTCCTATGGGCACCCACACCTTTGAGCGCTTAGAGGATTGGCCACCTTTGGGCGCCTAGAGGATTGGGGTAGGTGGGGGCTCAAGAGGCGCTCGCCCAGCGCTGTGGCCCAAGACAGGGGCAGGCCACCAGGAAACATCCCGGTGGGTGCCCCCAGTAGGCCGGCGCCCTAGGTGAATGCCTAGTTTGCCTAACGGAACAATGATAAGAGAGAGTTGCTGAAGCACTCTCTGCGTGGTTCTGGTGCCTGTTTACAGCATGAGAGCGTCTAATGATGCACTTGCACTATGGTGCCAGAGGACATTTGGAAATCGGTACTGTTGGGAGGCCTGCATTTGGTTGTTAGTGAATAGATTAAAGCACAGAAGAATTTTAACAACCACATGCAGGAGAACTGAGCTGATTGCAAACAGACACAGTTGTGGAAGCAAATTCTGCATTTAGAGAATAGACTCTCAAAAATTAAGCCCTGTGCTCAAACTCAAACTACAATTTGGCAGCAGTAATGGCTATAGTGTTCAGCAAATACATAGAACAAAAAAATATCCCTATACATTTACATTTAGGAGATCGGAAGATCTCGAAGAGAGCCAGTGCTGAGCGTAAACAAAAGTGGGTAAATAAGAGGGAAACAACAGCAGAAATATATAGAAGACAAGGGTTCCCAAAAATGTGATTTTGAGAGAATTAGGAAAGTAAAGATGAAAGTGATAATAAAATAGTGTCCACCGCATTGAAAGCAGCAGAAACATCTAGCAGGATTCATAAATAGTAGTGATACTGGCATTTTGCGTGAATTACCGTAAATCAGTGTTGATTATTAATTAAGTAAAGTGTGGATAGTGGAAACCAGATTGGAAAGGGTTAAGTACTGAGATGGATTTCAAGAAGTTAGTTATCTAACTTTTCAGACATTCATGGAACTTAGAGGTGAAAGGTAGCTGAGCGGGGAATTTGAATAAACCCTTTCACTACCAAGTAATGTGCCAAACAATTACCACCAGCAACTTGGGGAGAGGGTTGTCCTATTAAAAATATTGAGCGCCAGGAGTAAAGAGAGTTAGAAATCAACAGATTGTGAACAGATTAAGCCTTTACTTGCAGATTGAACAGATATTTGAGAGTGCTCCTCATACAGAGGTAATGAAGGAGGGGAAACATACTGGGCACTAATGAGAATGACAAGCTTTCTTAGGACACAAGGAGTGGGAAAGGACAATGGGCTTCAGGAAATGCCACCAGCTCTCAGCATCAAGATGAGAGACCACAAGAAAAAATGAGAGTGGATTTTTATCAGCAATATGTTGGCTGAGAGTGTAGGAGGGAGGAGAGAAATAATTAAATGTAGGACTTGGAATGAGCGATGGGAGGAGAATAAGAGGGAGCAATTTATCAGCTGTGTGCGGAGTATGGCAGAAAGGTGACTGGATTAGGGCATTTAGATGAAGGGGTTAATCATGGGAGGCTAAGAGTAAGATAGAGTCACAGGACCTGCACTTTTGGATAAGGCAGGAGGCAATACAAAAGCCGGTAGTTGTATCAGATTGTAAGGGAGGGAGAACAGCAGAAAGTTGTAAGGAACAAGATAGCAGCCGCCTCGCCTTAAATGAACCTAGTGTGCACCTAGCAATAAGGAATTATGGGATGTGGGCAGTCTATCCACGCCAGTGTGCAATGCTGTGTGGCGATAAAGCAATATTTAGGTAAATACTAATGTAACGGATCGCCTGGCACCCCGACTGGGTACCTCCGTTGAAGGATGCTCCTAGCGCTTCCTGAGGACTCCAAGCACTGCAGCAGACACCAAAACCACTGAACCGTAGGAGCATATGAATGCTCTCAAGCATTTGAATGCTGTAGACAGTTGAATAGGAACCATACGAATAGGTTTACTCTCCTAGCAGTCAAACTGGAACAGCATACAATGAATCCTTCCCCCAATAATGAGACGACACTTCACTTTGAGGGTTAAACAGGAACTCCCTGTACTGTCACATACAGTCTCTTTTATTTCCAATCCACAAACATAGTACAGCCCACAGGGCGTTACAAAACAACCAATCAATCCGTACAATACACCCAGACACTCCCACACAAACTCCTCCCCTCTGCCTGTGATATGATTACTGAACACAATGGGTAATCTCATTATCACCGGCAGAAGAATACAGTTTTTACACAATATTTATAACTTCTAAAATATACATGTCACAAACATAAAACATACATTTTCATAATCAATCCATTCAGGGGAACAACATATTAAAAATGGCACGAATCAGACCAGGGGTTCAAAAGTTAAGGGAAAGTCCTTTGTGACTAAATGAAGCATGGCTTTCCTGCCCAAACCAGTTTCAGAGTCTTCTATCCTGGAGATTGAATTGAGAAGTAATTCAATTATCTCCCAGGACAGACACAAGACTCCATTATGCACATGGTGAGCACAAAGCATTAAAATATTATAAAATACACAAAGTCACATTTTATACATAAAACACAGACATGTCACATATCCCCAGATAGCTGGGATCTGAGCGCACAAAACTACCGAATAGCGCTCAGATCCTATTCACACAGTTCAACTGCCATGGAGCCGAAGTCTTTAACTACACGAATGGGCTCCATGGCATAGCTATCTGGGTTAATAACTTCACATAAAGTCTGGTCCATAGTCCAAAGGCAAGAGGCGGGCAAGCAGCCCCCTCCAAGGACACGTGGCGAGGCTGGTTTTGCCATATTTCTCCCCTTTACCATCCAGACTAACAGGGTATCTGACCTCCTGCCGGTCAGTGCCCTGGTTAGTCCAGCAACCCACCCACGAAGCACAAACAGCAATACAGCCCACCCACAATAACTGGTTACTACACCTGGATAAAATAGCAACTTGTCCATGTCCAGGTGCCTCACCACGGCTATGCGGGGGGCTGGTAGACTGCCTTGGTGGGTTGCTGAGTGGGCAGAGACCAGCGGTACTCTGCCCGGGTGCCAGCGCTACCACTGAAGTAGCCTGGTTGGAGCCTGGTTGTGGGAGGGGAAGACCGACTGTCTCCCCTCTGGATACACTGCTCTGTGATGGGGAACAGGACCGACCGTCCCTACCCCTGGTGCTGCAAGTGCAGAGACTACAGTCCCATCTGCATAGTTGTGGGGCTGAACATCTCCCCTTGGTTGGTTAGGCTGCCGCTGGAGAGAGGGTGTAACAAGCTCCTCTCTCTGAACTGTAGACTGCCGCTGGGGAGAGGGGGTAACCTGCTCCTCTCCCTGACACTCTCTTTGCTGGTGGAGAGGGGGACCAACTGTCTCCCCTTTCAATATTTTGTCCTGCGGCTGGGGTGCGAGACAGACGGTCTCTGCTTCCTCGGGTACACACTGCCGCTGGGGAGGAAGGACGGCACCTTCAGCTCCCTGGGGTACACACTGGCTCCCTGGGATACACACTGGCTGGGGAGGAAGGACGGCACCTTCAGCTCCCTGGGGTACACACTGCCGCTGGGGAGGAAGGACGACACCTTCAGCTCCCTGGGATACACACTGCAGCTGGGGAGGAAGGACGGCACCTTCAGCTCCCTGGGATACACACTGCCGCTGGGGAGGAAGGACGACACCTTTGGCTCCCTGGGACTCACACTGCCGCTGGGGAGGAAGGACGACACCTTCAGCTCCCTGGGGTACACACTGCCGCTGGGGAGGAAGGACGACACCTTCAGCTCCCTGGGATACACACTGCCGCTGGGGAGGAAGGACAGCACCTTCTGCTCCCTGGGATACACACTGCCGCTGGGGAGGAAGGACGGCACCTTCAGCTCCCTGGGATACACACTGCCGCTGGGGAGGAAGGACAGCACCTTCAGCTCCCTGGGGCACACACTGCCGCTGGGGAGGAAGGACGACACCTTCAGCTCCCTGGGATACACACTGCCGCTGGGGAGGAAGGACGGCACCTTCAGCTTCCTGGGACATACACTGCCGCTGGGGAGGAAGGACAACACCTTTGGCTCCCTGGGACTCACACTGCCGCTGGGGAGGAAGGACGACACCTTCTGCTCCCTGAGGTACACACTGCCGCTGGGTAGGAAGGACGACACCTTTGGCTCCCTGGGACTCCTTTTTGGCCAAATCTACTAGAGATTGCAGGTATTCTCCTACTAGTTTCCTGGCAAGCTGCACGGCTCTCTTTGGGGGGTTGGGTCCAAAGGTAGACAGCACCTCATTAACCTCTCTGTCAAACTCCTCCTGAGTGTAGTCATACGTCATGCTTTCTCTGCTGAAGTTAGTTCTTTTGTAGATAGGGTCGCTGTACGGGTACTAGCGTTGCCCTCAATTTGTAAATCCATGAACTGTGTCTCCGAGCTGCTTTACCTCGCACTAGGACGCCATCCCACCGCTGCCACCAATGTAACGGATCGCCTGGCACCCCGACTGGGTACCTCCGTTGAAAGATGCTCCTAGCGCTTCCTGAGGACTCCAAGCACTGCAGCAGACACCACAATCACCGAACCAGTAGGAGCATATGAATGCTCTCAAGCATTTGAATGCTGTAGACAGTTGAATAGGAACCATACGAATAGGTTTACTCTCCTAGCAGTCAAACTGGAACAGCATACAATAAATCCTTCCCCCAATAATGAGACGACACTTCACTTTGAGGGTTAAAACAGGAACTCCCTGTACTGTCACATACAGTCTCTTTTATTTCCAATCCACAAACATAGTACAGCCCACAGGACGTTACAAAACAACCAATCAATCCGTACAATACACCCAGACACTCCCACACAAACTCCTCCCCTCTGCCTGTGATATGATTACTGAACACAATGGGTAATCTCATTATCACCGGCAGAGGAATACAGTTTTTACACAATATTTATAACTTCTAAAATATACATGTCACAAACATAAAACATACATTTTCAGAATCAATCCATTCAGGGGAACAACATATTAAAAAATGGCACGAGTCAGACCAGGGGTTCAAAAGTTAAGGGAAAGTCCTTTGTGGCTAAATGAAGCATGGCTTTCCGGCCCAAACCAGTTTCAGAGTCTTCTATCCTGGAGATTGAATTGAGAAGTAATTCAATTATCTCCCAGGACAGACACAAGACTCCATTATGCACATGGTGAGCACAAAGCATTAAAATATTATAAAATACACAAAGTCACATTTTATACATAAAACACAGACATGTCACATATCCCCAGATAGCTGGGATCTGAGCGCACAAAACTACCGAATAGCGCTCAGATCCTATTCACACAGTTCAATTGCCATGGAGCGAAGTCTTTAACTACACGAATGGGCTCCATGGCATAGCTATCTGGGTTAACACATTCACATAAAGTCTGGTCCATAGTCCAAAGGCAAGAGGCGGGCAAGTAGCCCCCTCCAAGGACATGTGGCGAGGCCGGTTTCGCCAAAACTAACATGGGTGTAGGAAGGGGAGGGGAGAATGAATCTGAAATCTAGTGCAACCGTTAAGATCATATGTTTCAGTATTTAAGAAAGATAAGAAAAATATCCTGTTAAATGAGCTGGTTATCTCATCCTAATAATGTGCTTCCTAGTGATAATATAGAATTTAGCCTACAGAACACAGTGTGTTTTAATAAGCGCCCCCTGCGTGGTTTATTATGGAAGGCTGTCCCCCCAGATTTTCTTTGGTTCCTATTGGATGATCACAAGCATAGCATAGACTGACTCTTTACCTACCTGAATGTAAATGTGTCGTCCATGCAATGCACAGATAACAGGATCACTTTAAAGGACCACTATAGTGCCAGGAAAACAAACTCGTTTTCCTGGCACTATAGTGCCCTGAGAGTGCCCCCACCCTCAGGGTCACACTCCCATGGCGCTGAAGGGGGAGGAAGAGCCGCATGCGCATTCAGCCAGTCCATAGGAAAGCATTCTCAAGTGAGAAGCGCGGAAGTGCCTCTAGTGGCTGTCAATGAGACAGCCACTAGAGGCTGGATTAACCCATTTGTAAACATAGCAGTTTCTCTGAAACCGCTATATTTACAGCAGGCAGGGTTAACCCTAGCTGGACCTGGCACCCAGACCACTTCAATGAGCTGAAGTGGTCAGGATGCCTATAGTGGTCCTTTAAGGAAAATTCAAAACATTCAATAATAAACACAAGTTTGATGTGCATTCTGATTATTATAAATGTTTATTTGATCATTTTAAATAACAGGTTTATATCAATGGTAAATGTGCAGACTGCCACGGATGTCATCAATCATCACAGAAAGTGATATGGTATGTGGTACCTTCGCCCCACAGGCAGCCTGGAGCTCAGAATTGCTAGTTCTATGCTGTTCTCCCTGCCCAGTCTGCTCTGTGTGCTATATCTGAAAGCTGCTGAGACTCGCGGAGCAGACTGCACAGGGAGAGCAATACAAAGTGGTAGGGAGGAAGGGGTGGTAGAGAGCTTCTGGTTTCACCCTCTGTTGGATGCAGATCGGGACTGTTGCAGCAGATTACCATGCCACGGCTCTGATACTATGAGTCCAGAGCTCACAAGAACCATTAAACTTTTAATAATAATAATATATTTATTACAGTAATAAAAAAAATTGAAATGTTGCAAAAATTAAAGCCCTATCCCACCCCTCCAACACAAACAGCTCCTATTAAACACTACATCCCCTGCACGCAAACACACATTGCCTCCTGCACACACACAATGCATCCCCTGCATATACTTTTAACATTACATTTAGTGATATATGGGAATTATGGTTTGCTGTTAACATTAGTACAAAAACATTTACCACATAGGATGATAACAACCCTAGTGACATCACTGCCTATAGAATAATAGGGATAAAGTGAATTGGGAAGAGTGGTGTATGATTAATCAAGATGTTCCAAAGCAGGCTTGTGAGCAATTGACCTCTAATGTATATCCTCCTGCAGGTACGAGTTAGGTCCTGCACTCTTTATGGGATGGGCAGGAGCAGCAGTTTGCTTGATTGGTGGCTCCATCTTTTGCGCTACGATTATTGCTGGAAGCAATCTCCATTCCAGGTAAATATTGGAAATGCTAACAACTTCACCACCAATAATATCTGTTTCTTTAAATCTTAATTTTTTTTAAAAAACACTCTGAGTTATTTGATCAGTATGTATAAAGGTCACAAATATGACACACAGATTTATGCAGAACATGCACACACAAATGAACAAAACGTAAATGCCCGCTGCCTAATCTGGCATAAAAATGCACACAAATCTAAAAAATATAGCATTCTTAAAACGTTACTTTCATATGATTATTTATTGTAATCATTTCAGTTTATCTAAAAACTTTCATGATGACCTTCATTCATTGTTCTGGTGAAACTTTTTAGATAAACTGGAGCATAGACAATGAAAGTTAAATAAAAAATAAAATGAAGTCTTAATTTGTGCTAATTGTTTAGTTATATAATATGCTCTCACACATATGGACACCTTTTTCTGCTTTTATATATACATATATATACACTGATCAGCCACAACATTAAAACAACTGACAGGTGAAGTGAATAACATTGATTTTATTGTTACAATGATACCTGCCATGGGGTGTGATATATTAATTAGGCAGAAAGTGAACAGTCAGTTCTTGAATTTTATGTGTGGGAAGCAGGAAAAATGGGCAAGTGAAAAGATCCGAGTGACTTGACAAGTGTTAAATAGTGATAGCTAGACAACTGGGTCAGAGTATCTTCAAAATGTCCTTTGGGGGGGCGGAGCCTAGCAACGGACCGGAGCGGACGCACATTGCCGGAGCTCCAAGGTACCGCACGGCAATCCAGCAACATCGGAGGCATCCCGCATAAATCACGGCCACACATTCAGCCACAGACCGCAGGGAACCCCACTGCGACCGCCGATGCCGTTTCTCCTGATGCCCGGCTCGAAAAATACACACCGAGGCGGCAAGGGGCGGGGAGGCAGCCTCAACCCAGCACGGGAGAACACTGGTCCTGGAGTGTCCCAGACTTTGAGGACTGGTACCCCAGCACACACAGCTCAGGTGAGATGGGGCGCAGAACGCAGAAACCGCCCCAAAATACCCCGAAACCGCAGCGCGACATAGGCCAAATGTTACAGGCCCCAAGCGCAGTGAAGGCACAAACCCCCCGTGAAACATCCCCGGTACCATCAGAGGAGGGAGAACCGCTAGACAGCCCACACCTTAGTCCCCAACACCCCACACACACGTGGATGCCAGAAGCCAGCGCACCGGCCTCAAAACAAGATATACAGGCCTGACAGGCCTGCAACAGAACCTAAGACAAATGTGGGAACCGGACCTGGCAGTGCTTAAACTGGACATGCACGCTGTGTCCACGCGCACTCAGGCAGTAGAAGAGGAGGTAAAGGGACTAAGAGAGAACTACCAGGAACTGAGGAAGAAGGTGCGACACCTCCAAGCTGCACAAGCGACAATGACCAGGCAAGTTACCCTCCTAGATGACAGAGGGCACCGAAAAAACATAAAAATCCGAGGGGTACCTGAATCAATACCGCTGGAAGAGTTGCCACACTTCACCAGACGCCTTGTGGCCACACTCCTGCCGACTAGACAATCCAAAACGTTCCAGTTCGATGGGGTTTACAGGATAGCCAAATCCCCACAAGCACCCAACTCAGCCCCACGGGACATAATATTGAGATGCCAATCAATGTTGGACAAACTGGGGCTAATGGCAGCTATACAATGGAAGACACCTCTTGACTTTGAAGACAGCAAACTCTCTTTCTTTCAGGGCTTGAGCAGGGCCACACTGATATGGCGCAAAAGTATGCAACCAATCACCAAACAACTCCAAGCCGCAGGAGTTGCCTATAGATGGGCAACACCAGGAACTCTCTGGATCACTAAAGATGACAAGCACTACAGGGCCACTGACCACACAGAGGGCCCAGCACTGATGACCGCACTGGGAATATCGAACCTCGCAGCGACCTCAGCGACACAGCCAGATCATTGACCAGGGACAACGAGCGCAGATTCATCCGCAACCCCTGGAACAAGCAGAGGCCCGAAAACCAAAACCTGAACGAACTGCCTCACCGACGGCCTCATAGGCCTTAGTCTAACTAGTTTAAATATTTTAAGTTAATAAGAGTGTTCATTAAGTTATATGTAGTTCTCTCACACTCTGACGGCCATTACAGTGCTACAACGACCCACCAGAGCCAAGCACACCAGTTCCGATAACAACCCCCCCCCCGGGGTTAAAGGGAAAACCAACATCACGGGCGACATAGTAACCCTGACTGGAATCAAACTCACCGCAAGGTCTGATACCCCTAGCCTAAAGCCCCAAGGGCACAACTTGATCCTGTCACACTACAGCGACTTATATATATACCTAGACACAAAACTTATAGTTACTACACTGACCAGGAACCACCCGCAGCTACCACTAGGGACAAAAATACACCTTTCGACACCTAGAGCACCACACACATGGGTACCCACCAATAACTACAATCAGGGACAAAAAGAGGAGCGGACCTAGTCCTAGAAAGGGCACACATAGAGAGACCCCGCAACCACCGCAACTCTCTTCCTGGCCACACTCGGAAGGCCCAAGAGACACACCCAACACCCATAACTTATAGTCGCACGATCTGGAATTGGGAACAGCCACTGGACCTAGCTGTAACTGCCTTCCACCCACGACTCCACAGAAATTAGGGTGTCTTAGGGAGACAGAAGTCTTCCACCCCCGCAGTTATTAGATTTCAAAACCTCACTATAACAATGTGACCTATTGTAAATATAAAATGTGTGTGACTAGCACACAACAATGCCTTGTATTTAATATGCACTGATTCTAATCGTTGTGTCGAGGCTGTTGTGGCCAAATTCATGAATCTGTTACCTTTCCACACGAAAAATAAAGAATTTTAAAAAAAAATGTCCTTTGGGGTGTTCCCAGTATGCAGTGGTTAGTACCTACCACAAGTGGTGCAAGGAAGGACAACCATTGTCAGAGTCATGGGTGCCCAAAACTCATTAATGCACGTGAAGAGCGAAGGCTAGCCCGTCTGGTCCAATCAGAAGAGCTACTGTAGCTCAAATTGTTGAAAAACCTAATTCTGGCCATGATAGAAAGGTGTCAGCAGTTTGCTGTGTATGGGGCTGTGTGGCCACAGACCGGTCAGAGTGTCCATGATGACCCCTGTCCATCATCAAAAGCACCTTCCATGAGGACGTGAGCGTTAGAACTAGACCATGGAGAACGCAGCAGTATGCACAATGGGAAGAAGGTAGGCCTGCAGAGGCAGTGTTATGTTCTGGGGAATGTTCTGCTGGGTCCTGGCATTCATGTGGATGTTAATTTGACACATACTTAGAGAATATTGCAGACCATGAACACCCTTTCATAGTAATGGCGTTCCCTGATGGCAGTGGCCTTTTTCAACAGGATAATGTACCCTGCCACACTGTAAAAATAGTACAGGAATGTTTTGAGGAACATGACAAAGAATTCAAGGTGTTGCCTTGATCTTCAAATTTCCCAGATTGCAATCCAATTGAGCATATGCTTTGAACAACAAATCTGATTCATGGAGGGCCCATCTCGCAACTTGAATGACACATTTAGAGGTCTTGAGCTGTTTTGGCAACACGAGGGGAGAGGGACCAACACAATATTAGCCAGGTGGTTTTAATGTTGTGGCTGATAAATGTAGGCCATATATATATATATATAGAGAGAGAGAGAGAGAGAGAGAGAGAGAGAGAGAGAGAGAGAGACCCAAATGGGTCGAAACGTTGTTTTTTTTAATATAAATACCTTTTGGAATAAATCTGCTTTTTTTTTTACTTTACAAGTCCTGAGAGTGCATCTCTTTACTTGTGTATATATATATATATTCTATCAGGGCTTAAAATGTTTATATATATATATCTATATCAGGGCTTAAAATTTGAAGACGTATGCTACTACCCAGGCCTTGAAAGATATTCACGACTGTAAGCCCTATTATACTCACCAGAGGTGAAGTTCTACTTGTCAGGGCTATATTTTCACTAGCAAGTGTCTAGTGAAGAGTGGAAATGTTGAGATCTGTATATATTACTATTGTGCATCAGCTGCATATGTCAGTTTGGACTTTTTAAAGTCCCACTTGGGCACAGAAATCCGAGAAAACATGTTTCAACAACTATCACAGAGTTTCCAGTTTGACATGCAAATGAGCATGGATAGATTTAACCCTGCATTTCTGACGACAACCTTAGCAATGGATACTGTTTTAAACACAGCTTATTTGAAATCATAGCATGGGTTGTGATCCAAAAGGACCAGTGACTAGAAACCAGCCATGGACTGTGAAGTTTCAACCTTTAAGGTTTCATTAGCATGGCTTTAGATCTGGTCTGGAAACTGAAGTCTCTCTTAGGTCACCTGAGAGAGTATAGCTAGGTGGCAAAGAAATATTGTGGTGAGGCCAAACAATAAAAATCTCCACAGTGCAAATAGAAAATCACTGTTGTGAATCACTTGCATATCACAAGTTTGGGCACAGAAACATACCCCATGCTATCACAGTTATGACAATGGGTGTGTGTTTCCACATGGGAATTATTCCATTGGGTCAGTCAAGTGCATGAAAACATTGATACTGCTGGCCATCAGCCCATGCACAAGCACACACACAGTGCTGACTAACAAAGGCCGTGCACAGCTCGTGGCTGCTGCCTTAATCCTGCATTAGTGTGCTAACAGACATCCCAGGCATCTCCAGCTACTTTAATCTACAGACACATGATAGACTGGAGCCCACAACCTCTGTATGCTAGTAGTCCACTTATATCTCTTTCCAGAGTGTTATCTGTATACCCGAGGTTCATCTGCTGCATTATAACAGCATTGCTCAATGGTTTCTTTCCACCTGTCAGTCAGTTGTGGAAGAATGACAACTAAACCGCAACACAAAAAAAATAAAGAAGAAGAAGCTGGAATGATGGATGTTTCTAGTCAGTTCTCCCAAATTGCTTACTTAGGCCTACTTTCTGCTGGTTATAGCCTATGTACACGTGTCTTAAAATGTGAATTATTAACATGTCTATTAAGTTAATGGTGGTCTCTCTTTAGAAGTATTGTGATAAAAATGTAATATAATTATCTCTAGGCAAGATATTCATAGATCATAGAATCTACGCTCACAATGCCATGTACATTAACTAAATACTGCAATTATAACTTCATCACAATATTCTCTCTGCAGACCAAACTACTCGCATGCAGGATTAACCATGATGACTTCAAGACCAGAAAAACCTCCTGCATACCAGAAGTCCACGTTTAGGTCTTCAAACGAATTTAACAAAACCGCATACGTGTGAACTATTTTAGTCAATGTGCACCTCCTGTTTTCTCATCAAATACTTGGAATTTGGATTTTTCTTTGTACAGATCTACATGATATGTTGATATATTAAGATTACAAATGTTGCCTAGAAATAAATAATTGTATTATGTTTACAACTGTAAGCTACTAGATCCAGTATGGTTTGCACTACAGGATAACCCCAATATCTTCTTGGAGAGAAAAAAAAATATCCTGGTCCAATGTAGCAGGGAGGATATAATTGAAACATAATTTTTATTAAAGTCCATTTTACAACAAAATTGTTTTCTACAGTGTGCTTTATTTTACATTCAACTACTCATTTCGCTTGAATATGTTGAATCTATTTTATTCCAAGAAGAGAACATTTAAAAAGATAAATAAATAGGTACGTATGTAGACAGACATGGTCAGCCACTATGTAGGTGATGACCTTGTCACAAGGTTATTACACTAACTGACAGGATATGGTAAAACCACAAACCGAGGGTTAAATATAGACGTATTACCAGGCATTAGAGTGGCTGAACCTAATGTATATAAAGATAGAGACAAGGTCAGAAATAGCCACGGTCAGGATTATAAAAAGAAGGATATATAAATAAACAAGCATTATATAGGTTTACATGACTTCTGATTGGTCCATATCATCTTTGCAACTCCATTAAGAGAAAGAATAGGGTTGCCTAGATGACGTTTTTAAATTCAAACAACATGAAGACGCGCCGTTCAGGTGGGCAGCGTCGGAAGTTCTATGGGAGGTTTGAACAGAGAGCAGGAAAGGTTTGCCCACGTCAAATTGGTAATTATATTGTTTGCGTTTATATAGTTCAAGCTGTGCGGCTGCGCGGTGCATTCTGTCTGCTTTACCTGAGGAGGGGATCGGTTCCACGTTGTCGAACAGGTAAGTATCGTGACATTTCCTGAGAATTCAAAGTAAATTCAAAATGGATTTTACATTTTAGCACAAAATAGCTGCACTGAACAATCTATACAACCTATGTTTTAAGCTTTGGACTAAAATTTGTAATTTATTTTAAATTCACCTTGAGTTACCAACAATTGCTTACCCCTGCAGTTCACACAAAAAACACATATCAATTGTAGCAGCAGGCAAGTTAGACATTTACAACTATGTATCTGTGAGTGTATGTGAATCTGGGGTGTATGTGTTTGTATCTGTGTGTGTGTATGAATCTCTTGATGTATCTGTGAATGTGTGAATTTGTTAGTGATCAGTACTGCTATCTAGCATACTCCCAGGCCTGTGATGAAGACGGAGCAGATGGTCAGGGTGGACTCAAATCACCAGGCCCTGGAATGGCAGAGGTACTCGGTCCACGTTGATGGAGTGGAGGCTCAGCGCAACATATTCTCAGGCTGACACACACAGGGGCAATGTCCTGCAGCATTGAGTGGGCAACTTAAGCTGCCGCTTGGGTTGCCCCTACCATCCAGTTAGAATTTACCTCAGCCGTCATCCGGGCTGGTGATGTGGGACTGGGACTTATGCTCACATGCTCTCCTCATGTTGTAGATGTTGCATTGTATGTTGAAGCCTGTCAGAGAACCAGATGCTCGTAGTTTGTAGCTGATTTCTCTTTCATTTTTAAAATTCATGCCAAAAAACACTACCTGCTGATGCAGTATTTTTTACCATAGCATCTAATGGTAATCTATCTTGTTTTTATTTATTTAGTCACTAAACTTGGTATTGCGCCATTTAAAGTTTCCTTGCATCTTCAGTTAACTAGCGCTAGTTAAGTTATGACTATGACTCCTGACAACTGTCCAGGGGCCCTCTGAAGTGTTCTACTGTTTATAGTCTACATGTCTAGGACAAATAATTTCAGTACAAGTGTTATGATGTACACTGTCTGGATACGCAAACTTAGTCTGACCAACATTGTTAGACTAATAAATGATATATAACTATATGTAGCTCTGCATACCATGCTGATATTATATGCTATTTTCATTTCTGGGCTTTCACAGTTATCAGGGGAACCTAAACACGCAGACAGATCACATACACAAAGGATTGCAATACTGGTCCTTAGAGTGACCGGGCTATGCAAAAGAGAGAGAGAGTAGTCAGAGTATAAGCTGAGGTCAAGGACAACAGAGAGACGGAATATGAAAGGACAAGCCAAGATCAAGGATCAAAGAAGACAGAGAAAACGTGAGACAAGCCAAAGTTCGGTAACCGAATAATCAGACACAGTATAACGCGCTATTGGGCTATCAAAGACCACAGCAGGGCAAGGGGTCATAGGAAAGGTAAGTTTATATATGCTTAGGGCCATTTGGATTAGCTAACTTCCAATCAGAGTTAATTATCACATGTGGGAGGTACTGACACAGCCGCGAGCGGGCACTGAAAGATACCTCTTGCAGTAAGCGGAAGTGAGGAGATGCCGCAAGTGGTAAGGGAACAAGTTAAGCTGAGCATGAGACCTGACATGGGCTTGTTAGTGCTATTGTGGCACTGCCGGTGTGTTTGTTATCATTATTTGCCCAACAAAAATAAAGAATCCAAAAAAAAATATATATATATATTTGGACAGCACAATTCTATACAGTAAGTCTGTTTGGGCAGAGCCCATTCACCTCATTTATCTGTCAACATTAGTTTTTCATCTACTTGCGGTTATATATCAACACCGTATAACTAAAGCATTGTGGAATGAAATGGTTCTGTATCAAAGTTAATAAAAGAACCATATTTCAAAAGCAGACCCCCTCATCCTCACTCATTTGAGGACTTTATGTTTTTTTACTTTATTACATAATTTACTTGCCGACTGTATCGGGATTTTTTGTGTTTTTTATGCATTTATCTATTTATCCCTTTTTTAGTGTTTTAATAAAGTTTCAGTTGGAAAAAATTTTTAAAAATGGACAAAGTACAAATTTGAAGATTTTTTTAGAAACAAACATTTTAATGCATTGTAAATGATAGAAACATACAAATATAAAATAGATTTTTTTTAAAAATATGCTTACAATATTTCCACATTATCTAAAAGTAAGAAATAATCTAATTTATTTTATCCATATATTTAATAATACTTGTTTGTTTATGTTGTAATTTAATTATTAGTGCAAAAAAGTACTGATTTACAAAATAAGAAGTTAAAAATATTGTACCGTTTGTGAGAGGCTACTGCCGTTTTGGCTAGCCATACTAATCAAAAATATATTTTTCTTCTTTGATAGTGTATGTTACTGTGTCCACTAGAATGTCAAGGTTGTGGTGGGGGGCACTGGTTGAGGGGCAGTTTTACTCCATTCTGAGAAAATAAAAGAAAGCTCTGCCCCAATTTGGCACCATAACAACTTAATCTCAATGAAGCTGTTATAAGGCCTAGAGTCACCGGGAATCGTCTTTCCTTACATGTTAAACTTTACAGGTAAACACTAAAGTTCTGTCCATGGCACCCGCTATACCTTCTACTTGGCCACTCACCTGATGCTCTCAGGCTTTCACTGCTCACCCACTGAGAATAATAGTACGCACTATTACTCGCAACGGGTGTCCAGAATGCCCAAGGACAGAACTTTGATGTTAAACTGTTTTCCTCTTATCAGTAATTTGTGATGAGTTGATTGAGTTACACAATGTAGGCTATAGCTAAATAGTATCACCATCCCATCAATTCGTTTTTGGACCATAGTTTGCAACCTGATTCTCAACTTCCTATATGGTCTATGCCTAGTGATTAAAGCTCCTGATGTCTACTATCACTAGACAAATCTGTGTGCATATTTTATCAACTAAAAATATGTTTAAGATGAGAACCACAGAAGATTGTAACTAGAACTTGTATAGGTATTCATATCAGCAGGTTTTTGTTCCCAGTGATATATTATACAGTTATAAAAAAAAAAAAAAAAACTATCTCCTAGATTACAAAAAATGTAATATCTATTTCTCTAAATCCCCAAAACAGAGTAAATAAACATAATTTATCAGCTGGCACTGAATTTATTTACTGGACATTGTATTTAACACCAGATATGCTCAATTTGCATAGTCTGCTAAATCAAATCTCTAACACTGATATTTATTCAGACCTCATATATTGAATAAGACATAATACTACCTTTATAAGGTATAATACACTATTACCATAATACAAAATTTAGGCTGTATCCTACAAGATTTTTTTTTAAATAAATACATTTACGTTACTAAATATATACAGAATTTAAGACTGCCTTAATCACTGGAAGCAAAATCTGCATTTTAGTTTATTGTGTGTAAAGACTGGTGCTACTATCCGAAATAAATATGTTTAAAAACACATTGAAATAATGAAGAAAGTCAATTTAATAGACTAAATCTCCAAGGCACCGTATGGCAGCATAATTAATTGTGACAGGAGATTCATTTCAGAGGAACCTTCCATGTGCTTATACATCAGAACAGTCACTGAAGTCGCTCACTGTAACTAAGGTGCTAAGAAGTGTACTGGACGTATCACCGTCACGGGCATCTGGAAAAGAGAAGAATGAATGAGACAATGAGCATGCAATATTTTCTAACAGCACTAGCAAGTTTTATTAAAAAAAATATACAGATATTTTAAATTTCTGGACATTGTTTATCAACTGCTAAGAGGAAAGACTGCTAAGAAAGTCACAGTGGGAGAGGCTGAATGAGGCATCTCGGAAAGATTAAAAAAAACATGCAGAAGAGAAACTAGACTTTTTTTGGGAGAGAGAGGCGGGGGAATGGATGAGAGATGTGGAGTAAAAAAAAAAAAGCAAACACTGACACACAGTACAGGAATACAGAGTGAGAAGGGGCATTGGGGAGACAGAGGCAAGAACAATTACTGGTGAGTGAGGTTGGCAAGTTAGTTGAGACGTGAGCAATAGCAAGAAAGAATCAGCTTTGTATGAACATTTACATATAAAGGCCATCACAGTGAATGACGTAGAAAATAACTGGAATATGTTTACCCTTCTCTTTCCTTACTCCTCCTTCTGGAATCCCAACTTTAATGAGTAGCAGAGTAGGGGAGGAAGGAAGCAACATATTAAAGCAGGAATCACAGTAGGTCACCAGTATCCACAAAAAGAGGATACAAATATATGAACAGTACTTAATTAGTGTAAAGATAGCATCTTAGAGTAGCCTTATGACATGTAAAATTTATAAATGCACACGTCCTCTGTTTATGTGGCCAGATATCTTGGTCTTTTAAAAGAAAGAATATTTACCTCCTTTAGGCAGTTTTGTAGGTCCAAATGCAGTTTTAACAGGGACAGGTGGAAATCCCTTCTTTTTTATTGCAGTATCTTGGCGTTTTTTTACAGACCTCGGCACTTCAAATGCTTCTTCTTCCAAGGAGGTGCTATCAAAATCACTGTCATCAAGGTCACCAGCCTTAGGTAAGAAGACAAAGAAACATTATTCATTTTACACTGGCAAACTGAGAATTGTCTTCTTTTATCACTTTTATTTGACAACTGGTCTGCTTTGCATTTCCTCCTGACTAATGGTTGGTACATTAAGAACAATATCTTCTTGAAACAGTAATCACAGCTGACCCACCATCCTGTATATAACAGTGTGGGTTCTAATAAACACATATGTTATTTGAGCCAGTGATTTAATGCATTCCTATACATATTCACTTATTTTAATTGGCCTGTTTATCGTTTACACCAAATTAGGGAGCTCTGTCATTTCAAATGATCATTATTACAATCAGGTCACCCCTGGACTACACCTCAATACTGGAACTAAGGCTTAAACTAATGACTTGCGAGTAATAAGTGCCTGAAATACAATACAATGTCTTTGTATTTTTTTCCATCAAATAAAATCATGGGTGACTAAAACTTAATCTGTAATTTCAGTTGAAAAAGGGAAATTATAATTTAATTTGGTGCTGTCAAAGCTCTTGGAAAGACTAGTTGACTGCTGTTAATTAAAGTTAATTAGTAACACATTTCATATAAGTGTCAAAAACTGGATGAATCAGTAGTAAACCACTGAATAACAGTCAACTTCATTAAAATGCAGAACTAGACTGTAGAATAACAAACAGTTGCACATTCTATGCATAGCTTAAAATGTATTAAACTACTAGCCATGCTTTAAAGATACTTACTATTGGAAAACTTCCTCTAGGAACGGACAGGGAAACAGCACACACAACCAACTTCCATGAAATAGCTAGCACGGCACATGCATTTGAGTACAAGCAATGAGCTGTCACCCAGTGTCACCTGAGCTGCCTATGGACTACATATTTGTCACAATGACAGTCTTGTGGTCCAGAGATGAGGAAGCAGGAATCCAGTGGATTCACTGCTGACAGCCGCAGATGTCAACACTTTGGCCACTATGCTGATGCATTCAATACAGCACTGAGAATTATCGCAGACAGTGTGTGCAGTAACACATTTTCACATAACAAATTACATACCTACCTACAAAACAATATACCTACACACACACACACACACACACACACACATATATATATATATATATACACACACTAAAATAGTGTTTTGAAGAATTGTAAATATAAACTGGGTACAAGAAGCATATTATAGTTTCATACAATGTTAATATATACAAAAAAAAAAAAATATATATATATATATATATATAATATATACACATCATATCCAATCAAACCCAAAAAAAGAATAGTAATTAATAAGTATTATTAATTTCTAATAAATCCTGTTTGCATACATATATGGACATCACATCCAATCAAATCCAAAAAAGAATAGTAATTAATGATTTAATAAGAAGTAATTAAGTAATTAAAAGGGAACATATTCTATATCTGTTTCTAAAACAGACTGCTAAAGTGTCCTAGTTGCATGCACTGAGATTACGATGGTCTCACCTTTAGTTCCATAACAGCATCCTTTTTCACAAATGGTTGGATTACATCAATACCATTAACTGGTTTGTGTTTAGTTGAGTACGTTGAAAGTTGCTTTTCGAATTGTTCAGTACGATCCTTTACCATGGTTGCTATTAAAAATAGATACATTACAATTAGAGAGAACAGTCAGTGACAGTATTAATCCAGATTTTGGTTTATAATGATAGGATTTAGGCTGATCACCTACAATGATATGTAAAGGAAGATAACAAATTGTGTGTTAATGAAATCCTGAACAAGACGGATTTGGAAAATCTAAAGTTGGGTAAAAAATACAAAAGACGGGGGTGGGGTTGGCTGCAGACCTGAATGGACGCATGTTAGATGCTATACTGAATATACCAGCGATTCCTAACGCCCCAAGGATCGAAAAACGGGATCCCACAACACCTGCTTAGCATTGGAAGAAAGACTAAAAAGCAAAAAAAACGACAAACTCAGTCAGGGAGTCAGCATTGGAGATCTATTTCGCCAAGCACAGGGCATGTGCGGCCCTGAGATGGCCGTCGACATCGAGGATTACACAGACTCCTCGTAGGATGTGGACCTCAATTAGGCAATCTACGGTCTACCTCCATGAAAGCCACCACAGAAGACTCATAGAACCAGCGGATCTGGACCGGTGACTGCAGAGACACTGAAAATCATGCTAGGAGACTTACAGAAGGCCCTCCAGGCAGAAATGGCTAAACTCCGTTCAGACCTCACAGGCCTGGTTGGCCGCATTGGGGTGGTGGAAGCTACCTCTACACAATTCACTCATCGCTGAACTACAACATGAGGTGCAGACACTGAAACTGCAGAAGGCCAAGAGTGAAGTACCCTTTGCAACACTCAAGGAGCTAAGACGCCGTAATAATTTGAAAAGTTGTGGAGTTATGGAGAATATCCCCACAGAAGAACTCCCACACCCGATGCAGAGGCTGATTGGAGCTCTACTTGCACCCATACAAGCCAGGAACGTCAGCGTAGATGCTGTATTCTGGATTCCCAAACTGGGTGTGCCAGTGTCAGCACCCAGAGACCTTGTGATGAGGTATCACAATCTGGCAGACAAGACAGCGGTTCTCACCTCATACAACGTTGAAAGCATGTCACTGTCCTTTTATGCCGACCTATCAGGTGACACACTGCAATGAAGACAGTACTACTACAAAAGCACAACATAAAATGTCGCTGGAGCTCACCTATACTATCTCGGACCAACAAGGAGCTATCACTCTGTTACAGCCACTCGACCTACCAGCAGATTCACTTTGGCCAACAAGTTCTGCAGGAACCACCACAGCAACGCACCCCTGGAACCCGGTAAAGATCACTCCATTTTTCCCACAGGGAGCGATGCCTGACATGTATGCGGCAGTTACCACCTGAATTAGGGGGCTCTCAACCTAATTACTTCACTTCTGGGAAAAAGGACTCTAAAGTACTAGCGGTAGCGGTTCGAAGTTCTTTAAATTTTACTTTTGGAATCCTTTCTTTTTAGTTGACCAGCCAAAACCCACCTGATGATATGTAAACTACTCTATATCCAGATCATTTGTAGGAAAGGGGCACTCCCGCCGCCCCCCTCAACCCAAAAGGGACCTGGCATAGGAACCAAAGACAACACGAGTTGTAGACTAGTCTGGCACTACGCCTGCTGCCCAGTGCATCCACAATAGGGCATGTCGCTTCACAAACAGGCAGCAGGTAGATAGAACCAAAAGGCGCAGTCATCACAATTATAACGATTGTATATACTCAGATATGTTTCCTTTTAGTTAGTTTGTTTTAATTACATGCTCTGGCCAGGGACACTTTAGGCCCACGCAACAGACCTACTGACTGGCAAGATATGACCTGCCGACCCTCCGAACAGGCTCTTTGTGTGCCTGCTTTGGCCAGGTCTCGAGGAGACGCACTTGGATAAGCCCTTAGCTATCTAAAAAATAAACACCCCAGCTCCCAACTATTCCACTCTAAGAAAATGTATACCTGTTTAGCTTTGCTGTTACGTACTGTACTGACAACCTCTCTTCTGTTTTATTCATGTAAGCCCTCTTGAGTTTGTGAGCTGGCCACAAATAAAGAATTATATATATAAAAAAAATACATAGCAGAATTTGTAAATGTTTTTACAAGAAAACAAATTGAAGAGAAACTATAGACAATAAAAATGATGTCATTAGCAGATCCTTGAGAGAAACACTCTAGCAAATATGAATACAAACAAAGCTAGAGTGTTTAACTAACCAGGGCTTACAATTTGAAATCCTATGCTACTAGCCATTCCTTACAAGGTACTTGCCACTGCAAGCCAGAGCATGCACCACAAGGGGTGAATCTCTTTTCACAAATGGCTAGTGACAAACAGAAATTTTGAGCCCTGTACTAACGGTTTGGATTATTGGGCCACCCATTATCCAATAAATAAATTACTTATCACTCGGTCTTGCCACAGTTGCACCGCCTCCATTGGCTCAGATAATTAATCCTTGTATTCCCAGCCAATCCAATGCTTTCCTATAGGGAAATTAGGAGCATATCATTCAGAAACCTCTGTCCAACAGAAGTGCAAGGGATTGGCAACAATCCTAGTCATCATATCTGATAAGTGGAACTCGTGAAGAAGTTGAAAGCAGCCTTTCTGCAGCTGCTATCTGTTTATTAGCATCCATAAGTGTACTTTTACCACACTATACTAACACTTGGTAGAGGCAGACACGAAAGTACAGTTTCCTCCTTTGATGCCTGGAAACAGTCGCCATAAACTGAAGAAGCAATGGTCCAGCACATGACTTTACATGTTAAGTACCTCTAGAAGAAACAACATTTCAGCCTTAGTGTTTGATAGTGTGAGACCTAAAAATTTATGTTAAAACTGTACAGCCAATTCCTTAGTATATACCTAGAAAACAAAGTGCTAGGGTTACTACACCTCAACACAAATATCACTGTCCTTACCTCTTGTTGGCTTCACTGGTGGTTGCTTCTGAATGCTATTCCTATGGACACTCTGAGGTTCCACAGCTTCAAGTAAACTTCCTTCTGAGTCACTATCATTTACTGCAAAGCCTTGGTTACCTTTCCAGTCAAATAAACTGTTTGGTTTAAAGGTATTTGTACATTTGAGTGGTTGCTTGGCAGATTTGCTGTCATCAGACTCATCATCGGAGCTAAATGGAGGTGTTCTGAAATGTGTATTAAAATAGGTAATACCAAGCAGCATGACAAATAAAACATAGTATTGTTGTATTTCAAATTTAGTTACACATACTCCATCTACGCGAATGCAGGCTAGTCCTCATAGAAAGGTAAAAATATTATCACAGGTATTTCACAAATTATTATAAATAATATAGATTCTGTAATGGACTGTAGATGAACAAGAATGTGGGGATATTCCATTTTCTGAGGAACACTTCATAATTTAACCAGAAAACTGACCTGTACATTCAATGTACCCACTTTAGCCAGATATATAAAAACATGCAAATACACAATCCTAAAGTTTGGAATCTCAATAAATGACCAGTTGTGTGCCATGATTCTTTCAAAATTTGACTACTTTCTATTAATGATTATTATTTTATCTGGATGCAAAAATCCACACACTGATTATCAACATCCAAATTTTGTCTTTCAGGAACATCATTGAAATGGACATTAATGTCCACTGGATTTCATCCTGTCCACTGACACTCTCCATCACTGAATAATCAAAAAGGTTTCACAAAACGGACATATGAACAGAGCAATGAAAACTTTAGGCACATGTGACAACCAAAAGCAGCATGAGTGCCCGGGGAACACATAAGTGCCAAACTGTTCAAAAGGATTTGACTCCTTATAATGGGAAGGCCAGTAAACTCCTGCCACCAGTTAAGCACAAATACATTTTTGGCAGAGGGAATTCCTGGCACACGTTAAGCACAAATAAAAAGAAATGTTATATAAGATAGTATTAAATATTACCCAATACTTGACTGCTTTGGAACATGGAAGTCTTTTGCAGAAACCAGCATAACTCTATAAAAGTAATTAAAAGTACAATGTAAAACAAGTGTCGTCTTCTGAAAGTACATATCTATGTTAATGACAAGATATTGATCTTACTTAGGGGTAGAGCTTTTCAAGGGCAGGGTATACTGTGGTTCTGGTGTCAGTTTTTTTGGTTCTGTTTGGAAATCTTCTTGAGAAGGTTTAGTAGTTGAGACTTTGGACTTTGATTGCTTTGGCAACAAAACAGAGGAAGTACTTCCTGAAGCTGAGGTTTTAACTGTGGTGAAAAAAAACATTTCAATTTATATAAAAATTAATCATCAAAGCACATTCCAATAAATAATAAATCAGTTGTATTACATATGTTTAAAAATTGTTCTGCAAAGGTTAGCAACTACAACCAAAATGTAGAGATCCATTTTTTTTAATGAGAAACTGACACATATACCTGAAGACCAAGCCAAATCTCAGGCTCAGTGATTGTGACTAGTATATTGATAATGTATTGGGTGTTTGCCTAAAATGTACTTTAAAACAATAATATAAGCTGCAGCATTCATTAAAATATATCATGGGAGAGACTGTTCTCAAAATGTACAGTCTCATGTTTCCAAAAATTAAAATACAGTTAATTATATTGCATAAAACATTAACACAAACCAAAAACAGAAAACTGGAAATGGTTTCCAGTACTGCAAACTACTAGTAACTAACTTACTAGTAAACAGTGTAGGGTAAGAGTTCCATATAATAAAATAAAGAAATATGAGTGAGCGTCCAAGAATATATAAACAAGTATACATATATATATATATATATATATATATAGAACCATTGAGAAAACACAGAAGTCCAAACAAGGAAAAAAAATCTATACGGATAGAAACAAGGGAGCCTTGTTTGATGTCATCACATAATGAAGGGATCAGTAAAATCTGAGGGGAAAAATATAAAAACAACTAACAGCAGAGAGCCTCCATACATGCATCACTCCTGCAACATAGAATGTAACATCCTAATGACGATAAAATATTCAAGTTTTCATCAACTTTTACATCTATCTCTTTGAATTATTTTTTAAAGAGATATTTTTTTATTTTTCATTCTTTATTTTTCTCAGAGACATTCAGATTACAATATGGCGCACACATCAGTTTACAGAGAAAGTTGTGTTATGTATAGCAGAGAGGAATATACAGACAATATACATGCGAGTAGACCAAGTAGTTATCGAACATTCAAGTAAATGCAGTAGTAGTAATAAATGCCTCTCTCCACTTTGTGATAAACTGATTATATATAAAGACTAAAATGCCAGGTATTAGTTGGGTATAATACTCTGTCTCAGGTCCTGAGGATTTTTACTTTTTAGAAAGAACCCGAAAAAGGGGTTTAGGGAAAGAAGAGAGAGAAGGAGTTAGAGAAAGAGGAAGAAGGAGAAAAGTAATGAGAAGTAATATATATTTAATGCCGCACTGTCACCCCACACCCCAAGCCTGCAAAATTACTATTTTATAAAGAAAGAATCTTTATGAAATACTCATATTGACTATGTTGTAATTTTACTGAAATTCCAACCCAGTCAAGAGATAAACTGAGACAAAGTAGGGATTACTTTGACTCAGTATTTTTCCTACACCTGGCACTTCTTGATACTCAACAGAGCTACTGCTGTCAATCAGAAGTGTCAATCTCCCAGCTATCATCAGTGACGGCTGCAAGGAATTGGCTCGATCTATGGAGAATCACAGAGTCTCTCCATAGATCTCAGTGCTGTACTCTCGCGCATGAGATTTCAATTGCCAAAGTTCAGAAATCACTGGCAAACTGGTAGTTTAAAGGACCACTCTAGGCACCCAGACCACTTCAGCTTAATGAAGTGGTCTGGGTGCCAGGTCCAGCTAGGCTTAACCCATTCTTTTATAAACATAGCAGTTTCAGAGAAACTGCTATGTTTATCAATGGGTTCAGCCTTCCCCCAAAGCCTCTAGCGGCTGTCTCATTGCCAGCCACTAGAGGCGCTTGCGTGCTTCTCACTGTGATTTTCACAGTGAGAGCACGCCAGCGTCCATAGGAAAGCATTATGAATGCTTTCCTATGTGACCGGCTGAATGCGCGCGCAGCTCTTGCCGCGCATGCGCATTCAGCCGACGGGGAGGAATGGAGGCACCCTCAGGGCACTATAGTGCCAGGAAAACGAGTATGTTTTCCTGGCACTATAGTGGTCCTTTAATGTATAAGATAAAAATTATTCCTTTATTATTCAAAAAATGAAACTTCAGAGACACCGTGCATGAATGAAGAGAATAAGAATAAGATAGTTTCAGTGGTCTTCCCTAACTTCTGTGTAGGGAGTGAAGCAAGGAAGACCACAGAGATTAACTGTCTGTTTTTAAACACTGTCTGACCCAGGGTGCATGTATACAGCTCTAGGATCGTGTCATATATTAAAGGAACACTATAGGCACCCATACCAATTCAGCTCATTGAAGTGGTCTGGGTGCAGTGCCCCAGTCCCCTTAAACCTGCAATTGTAATTATTGCAATTATTACAATAAAAACATTGCAGGGTTAACTCCTCCAGACAGCCATTAGAGGGACTTCTGGGTGGTTAGGTGACCTTTGGTCGCTTAAAGGACCACTATAGTGCCAGGAAAACATACTCGTTTTCCTGGCACTATAGTGCCCTGAGGGTGCCCCCACCCTCAGGGTCCCCCTCCCGCCCGGCTCTGGAAGGGGGAAAGGGGTAAAAACTTACCTTTTTCCAGCGCTGGGCGGAGAGCTCTCCTCCTCTCTCCTCCTCCGTTCCTCCTCCTGGGCTGAATGCGCACGCGCGGCAAGAGCTGCGTGCGCATTCAGCCGGTCGCATAGGAAAGCATTTACAATGCTTTCCTATGGACGCTTGCGTGCTCTCACTGTGAAAATCACAGTGAGAAGCACGCAAGCGCCTCTAGTGGCTGTCAGTGAGACAGCCACTAGAGGATTAGGGGAAAGGCTTAACCCATTCATAAACATAGCAGTTTCTATGAAACTGCTATGTTTATAAAAAAATGGGTTAACCCTAGAAGGACCTGGCACCCAGACCACTTCATTAAGCTGAAGTGGTCTGGGTGCCTAGAGTGGTCCTTTAACTGATGCTGGACATCCTCACACTATGTATGAGGACATCCAGTGTTACCCAAAACCCCATAGGAAAATATTAATCGATAAACATCTATGCGGTTTTGGCCCCCATTATGGGGAGTGGATGGACATCGGTACTGGAATTAGGTAAGTGACAGAAGGGGTTTTTGACCCCTTTTAAGAAAGTTCGGGAAGGAGGTGGGCAGAATAGTGATAGGAAACAACTTTGTTTTCCTAGCACTATAGTTTCCATTTAAAGGTAGGAATGAGGGTATTATCTTCTTCTTCTTTTTTCATATACTTCATTTTAAAATCCATCTATTTCAGTTCAAAACTTGACGAAAGGCTTATTATACTAAACATAGTTTTGAGCTGAGTTGTCCTTTAAGGTTATCCATTAGCTTAAGTGGGCAGGTAACAATCATAAAATAATAAATCTGTCATTATCAACAATAATAGGAAAAAGAATATATACTTACAATCACTTAAGACTTGTGAAGTAGATTTAAAAGAGGTTGTGCGTTCTTCAACCAACGAATTTACACAACGTGCAAGGTTTACCCGAATATGATCCATTTCTGGTACTCGCTTTGCATTCCCTTCTCTAACAGATTCCACTTGACTTACAATTTTATTTAGCTGTTCATGTGGAATTCCACGTGCTCCCTGTATAATTACAGAGCACAGATCAAGATCATGAAATTCTTTCATTATTTATAAAATTTCTTACCTTTTGTGCACAAGCAAATCAAGATCTTTCATACCTGGAAAGTTTAAGAAGAAGTCTAAACGCTATATATATAATACATGCTGTTATAGATGTTATGGTGCTTGTAGGCTGTGCGCCCCATTCCCCAGTTTTTGGTGGAACTGTTTGAGCAATTTCAACAAATCTGGGGACTCTGAGGTACCCATGATCACCTATCAATAAAGCAAAAATGGATCTATCAAACTAGCGGTATCAATTTCAGACATATTTGGATGGCAATAATAATTCGAGTGTATCAGGTCTGGGCACCTCGATTTTGGTTAAACCACTTAAAAACTGTTTGACCCAGAACAAGGAAAGAGTGCCCATAGGTTTCCAACAACATAACCATTACAACTGTATGTAGTAATTATGTTGTTTAAACTGCCCCTTTAACACTTAAAACTATAAAATATAATTTATGCCCAAAAACTAAAAAGCATGTAGATTTACCGGTTTAACACCCAGAGATTCTAACTTTTCAGCAAGTGTCTGCTCCAGAATGGTTCTCAGCTCTCTGGAGTGAGGTTGGTTCATTTTCAGAGTATTTATTACTTTCTGGTGTCGGATGTTTGGTGGTTTTTCAACATCGATCTCTGTAAGCAAACATTAAAGAGAAATATTTTAAAGAAAATATATATTCTGTTAACCAAGATTTCCTTACATATTCTCCCATGCTGGCTACCCACTAAGTCGAGTACATCTAAAGCCAACTTGAGTTAGATATGAAAATTCCAGCTTTCGTCTGAGGCATGTTTCTATTGACTTTGATAAGGACACAGTTTAAGGGCTGTATTCTAGAAAGACTCTAGAGAACCAAGAAGACGGAACATTTCCCCAAGTTCAACAGCTAGGGGAAGATTTCAAAGTAGGTTACTCTGAACAAAGAAGAGCCTGAGATTGAAGGACATCATGAGTGTGGCTGCAGTACTAAGCTGTGCTTTGGCTCATGCAAATAGCAGAAAATATAATTGGCAGGTTTTCAATCGAGACGTATGTAATGGTTGTTCTTATCTCAGGACTGCATGGTGACGAGAAATATATTCAGCATTCTTTAAATGAATGCAAATCAGACAAAGCAAAAAAATCACTGTATGAATGGCATTGAGTTTATTCTGGCAAACCATTGCATTTTAAGTAATAGAATAAACACTTTTAAACTCTCTGGACATTCATGTGTTGAGCACTATGCAAGCCAAATGTATTCCTATAGCTATTTAAAATGTTTGTTCCTTAACAGTCCACTGATACTCAAATGCCAAACACCAACAGCATTCAAAAACCACCAGGTCCACCATACAATCTCGGATTTTACAAGGAGTCCTCGTGACTCTTTTGCTGCTGCCTTATTTATTGAAATGAATGGCTATGTATAGTTAGCAGTATTTAAACTGCATTTATTTGGATCCCAAACTGCATCCCAACTTATGAAAATTAAATCATCCAGAAAAATAATCGCTAACATGATGTAATTCTTACTTATTTAACTAATTTGTCCTTCCCAGTATGACCTCTGTGACTAAAAGACTTATTAAAAATAAACATAAGAAAATAAATACTAGTCAATCTGCATGAAAATATAGCAAAATAAATAAATTACTTTAAAAAAGAAAAAGAATTTTAAAATCGCATTTGATAAAATGAGTAACATCATCCTTTGGCCACGAGAGATTTATCCTCATGTGATCTGAATTTCAGAAAAAACAAGTCCAGATGAATATTAATTGTTCCTTTTCCATTGCGCAGATTGCATGAACAAGTTGGTTAAGTAATTTTTCAGTAAAGCAGTGTCAAAACAGCTCTTATGCGTCGAGGCATGGACTCCACAAGATCTCTAAATGTGTCCTGTGGCAGTTGGCACCAAGACATAAGCAGCATATCCTTTAAGTCCTGCAAGTTGCAAGGTGGGGACCCACATGGATCGGATTTGTTGTCCAGCACATCCCACAGATGTTCAATGGGATTGAGATGTGGAGAATTTGGAGGCCAAGGATACACCTTTAAATCTTTGACATGTTCCTCAAACCATTCCTGAACATTTTTTGCAGTGTGACAGAGTGTATATAGTGCTGAAGGATACCACTATCATCGGGGAACACCACTGACATAAAGGTCTGCATGTGGTATGACACAATTTCTAGGTAGTTGATATGTGTCAAAGTAGCAACCACATTAATGCCAGCAAAAACCTTCTAAAAACGTATCTTGAGAAGTGGATAAAAACATTCATTTTAAACTACATGCAAACCTACACATTTCTTAGCTGTCCATGTCAGCAGATGGTTAAAAACGGACTTTCTCATGTAATGCAAGATTGAGTCACTATAAAAGGGAATTACTCATCACACGGTCCATTTAAAAGAGAATGCCATATGAGAAAGTCGATTTAAAAGGAATGCCCTACATCACATGTAGATAAGTTATAGAAACAAAGCTACTTACCCCATGTCAGTGATGAGCTAGATTTTGTAGCCAGCTGCTGTGACATAGCAGAAGATTCTGTCACTAGATTAAAAATAAACCATGTACAATGAATCACACACACTATGTATAATGTAACTATAATTAATATAGCTAAAAAGTTTGTAATGTGCATAGGCCCAAGACTACTAAGAGTACTCACATACTTCACTTGACACATACCAAAATCATGTATACAGTGTTTTTTTGTTGTTTTGTATTAAGCATTTTTTTTTTTAGCAAACAGCTTTCTACGGGGGATTATTATAGCTTTGTTGTATACAAATATAATGGCTAGTAATTCAACAATAAAAAAATAAAAATTTAAAAAGATGCAATATCACACAAAATACTAATTTAAACACAATAACATGTATCTGTTATATTTATAATCAAGCATTATACTATGCTCCATCTTACAGTACAACACTCAACTAAATGGTCATTATCATAGTTATTTATAGGAGCACCTAGCGCACCAACACAACTTGCACAGCCAACAAACAGTTAGCCAAGTAATAATATCTCGCATCAAACTCCATGTGAAAAAAACCCTTCCAGTCCACATATCATATAGCGAGAAGTACATAGTGACATATAGCTTGTGTGATTAGGGACACTAAAAAAACAAAAAACTGGTAGCACAAGAATTCCTCTCCCCACTTCCATCTGCCATGGTTTTGTCTTCTACAGTCAAAGGTAATCATACAGTTGTTTTTAAAAGGACTCTCTAAGCACCTAGACAACTTCATCTCATTGGTCTGAGTGGAGTGTCCCTGTTCTCTGAACCCTGCAACGTAAAATAATGCAGTTTACATTGCAGGATAAACACAACCTCTCGTGCCTGTCTCCCAGATTTTAACGAAATTTAAAATGACACTCAGCTTCTTCAAAATCCCCATAGGAAAGCAATGAATCAAACTATTGTGTTAAGAATATAGTTTTGTATTCCTAGCACTATAGTATTCTATAAGGTCGAGGTCCCAAATCAAGATAGGTTTAAGGAGGGAGAAGCAGAATAACTTTATCCCTATAAAATATTTTGCCCTCAAAGTGGCTCCATCACCATTATTTACAAAGATATCTGACAGTGATATTGCAGCTGGGTGTCCAGTGGCAGGGAGCCCACATCAACGCAGAACTGCAAATACAGCACTGAGGTCTATGGAGGATCAGGAGTCCATCCATAGTCAGAGCCTGACCAATTAAAAGAGAGCAGAAAACAAGTCACAAGAAAGTGCTGAGAACGGACAACAGCTCAATTAGCCTGCCCTTTGGTGGGTCCCCGCTTAGTTCTCAAACTGGTTTTAGCTCATCTTGCGTCATTACAGAGAGAATAAGGCCATTTGCATCTCAGACGGATTCCACCCAAAAAGGCAGAACAGCTCCGAAATACAGGCCGTCTGTCTCTGCACAAGAGATTCAGCAACCCCAGACGATCGTTTCAGCCTTGTTAGGCATCGTCAGTGAGATATAGCCAATATCTCTCTAGGCACGGTGAGCAAGGGGTCCACGTGGGAAATTGCTGGCATTTCTGATCTGGACTGCCTGTACGGGTGGGACCAGTCTGATATGCTTCAGATATGTTCTCTCTGTAATGGCAAAAGAGGAGCTAAAACCAGCTTGAGATCTGAGCGGGGACCCACTGAAGGACAGGCTAATTGAGCTGTTGTCCGTTCTCACCTCTTTTTCTACTTGTTTTTCTCTTGACAAATAAAAAGGTTGACAAAAGGTAGCTCCACCTATTTATCAAGCTTGTCATTGCAGAGGAAAAATGTTGAGACAAAGTCTTTGTCTTAGTATATCTTGTAAATGGGTTGGAATTTCAATGAAATGCCAACACAGTCACTGTATTTCATAAAGAATCTATCTTTAGATATACTCATTTTGGAGGTGGGTGACAGAGCCACTTTAAGAGCCATTATATTCCTACACTTTCACTTAAATGGAGATGGATTCATAAATCAGTACCTCTCTGTTAGTAAAAATGTTCTACTGCCTATTAAAATTTATTGATTTAAATGAAGAGACTTTAGTAAAGCCCCATGCCTTACCTGGATGTCTCCCAACAGAGGTGATTGGTTTGACAGATACTTCATTTATCTAATGGAGAATAAGGTCAAACAATTAAATACAAGGAATATGTCTGTGTATTGTGTTCACACAGTCTGAAAATATTTGTTGTAACACACCAACAGGAAAGACTTGAAACTGGAATGCTTGATGCTACAAACAGATCTGAATGAGAATCTAGGATTTATCGCACTTTCATTTTTGGTTTCTGGAGCAAACCAATATTGTGGTAGTTAAGGACAGATTTCATTTAACATTCTTGTAGAATGTACTATACAACTAGTAAACAGGATACAAATCAACTACATTTGACGGGGTGCATTCCACAGTAATAAAGGTGCAGTCTGCCGTTTAGATTAATACAGTCTAGCCATGTTCCACTAACACAATGAGTTAAAATAATCCCTATCATTGGTGCAGTACCTGGAACTATAATGACAAGATAGATCAGTGTACCCCATGCTTTATACACATAGGATACAAAATGCTTTATGAACACACCTGTTCCTTCCATGTCCTCATGAATTCATTTTGCTCTTGAAGCCTTCGTTCGAGTTCATCTAACCGTTTCTGATAAAAATCACTGCGTGCCTTCTGCTCTTCACTCATTGACAATCTTAGTTTTTCCATTTGGGACAATAGCTGAAACATACAAACATCAGGTAATTTTGATATGCTATACTTACATACTAAATACACAATTAAATCATTCTACCATTAATGAAATGAGATATCTGCTTAATTTTATAAGAAATTGGACAAACATAGATGGTGCATGTTTTATGCTGGACAAATATTTTAATTTAAAAGAACACTCCAAGTACCATAAGTACTACTGAAGTCTGAAATGTTCCCTGCCATTCAACATTTTTTCTAAGTATCTCTATCCCCCAAAATACACAATTTGCCTTACTATTACATTTAAAGTCACATAATTTCACTGTATGAATACTTGTTCAGCTGTGCTACTTGCACAAACATGCAAATCAGCTTTAAAACTTGTAGGATCTGAGCGTGTGCCTGAGTGTTCAAAGCTCTTCTTCCCTTTTCTGGCTGTGTTCATCTGGTCTCTGAAGGACAAGTCTGTCATTAGTTCAACTTACTCGCGAGCGCGTGCAAAGCCCTGTGAGTTGGATATTGAAAAGGTGCAGCAAGGCACCTACAGATCTAAAGGGCTGAATAGCATGGCGTGTTCACTTCATACAAGTACTTGGATGTCTGAAAGTATAAACCAAATAATGGTATAGTTTATTTAGGTGGTGAGGTTTGGAGGGATTTTATTAAAAATATAGAAATTGGCAACATTGTACACACCTCTGGTGCACCACAACCCCAATCCTTTCAACACACTACAAAAGAAAAGTTATATTCATTATACTGTTGGCAAATTCTTGTCGTCAAGACCCATCAACAATCCAGGTTTTGTCAGTATCTCCTTTGGAATAAAACTGGGAAATATATGAATCCTGGACTGTTTGTGGACCATGAGGACTGGCTTAGGAACCACTGCAACAGAGTATGCAACTCATTGTTTACAAGAAGTCACATCCATTCATCATAGCTCCACCCTTGTTAACTCCAGTAAGTTAATACACTTTTTTAATGAATACACAGCAGGTCTCTCATAAAAAAAAAAAAAATAGACAGCCCTTACTGCATCAATCCTCTCGAAAAACTAAATGGGGATATGTGCATTTTGTGTTGTCATTAATGTTTCTGAGTGAACAGGAAGCAACAAAGCGCTGTGTTGTAAATGGAATTACTGGGCATGTGCGCATGACAACTTATGAGCAAGCAAACTCCCATTTGTTTCAAAGAGAAATCAAAAATTGAAGAAAGAACCCAGCCAGCTCCTGGAAGATATTTGTGGGAGGGTTTTGTTTTTCAAAGTTAGTTTTAGTAGCCAGAACCTCATCATTATTGCAGTACAAAAATTAAAGAGCCAGAACAGGATCCTGGTTTTCATTTTCAAAAGAAATCACTGCACCTGGTTCTTTTCTTTATTGTGTTCTTGCCGGATTAGACGGATCTTGTTTCCCCATTTATCTTCCTTCATAAAGAAAAAAAAAACAGGTAAAGAAAAGAGAGATTAAAGTCTAAAAAAACAATATAACAATTAATATATATATAACAATTATATATAACACATACATATATAATGAAACAGCATTGCAAACATTAACCTGTGTCTGTAAAATTTCTTTCACGGTTTCAATATCATGTGAGCAGTTGGACATCTCTTCATTATTACGAAGGCTTCCTTGTAGAACACCTAACCCTGAGTTTATGAACCTGCTTTCTTTAAGTTCATGTAACTCCTAAACAGGGAACACATAAAAACACATATATAAATGAACTGGCAATATATATGTTTACAGATTGATAAAACTGACAAAATAGAGTGTTAGAATTGTTCTGTATTTGCATGGTCATCTGTCCATAGCTATCTTATCCTGATGAAAGTTCTGCAATTAAACTAAAACACTGGTCACAAAAAGCACTTCATATTCACATTGAAGACCCATTGTGCTGTTTTCATGGGTTCTACTTTTAACTCTTTCACTCTCTTTTTGATGCTAAAACGGGTTTCCATCCTCAAAATGCTGAATAGAAAGGACTGACATTTATAAAACTAGTTGATCAGAGTACTTTGTTCTCGGTAATTTACCCTCTGAACAACAGTGGCCTAGTGAGGCTCTCAGCTAATTAAAAGAGAAGAAATTGGGAATGCTGGTCTTTTTCTAAAAATAACAGAGTGATTTACTCTGTTATACTGAAGTGTTGCAGGAGGATAAACAATTTGCAAATACCCCCAAAAAAGCTGAGGAAAAAAGCAATTTCTTATTCTTCTTGTCAACTACTGAAGAGAACCCAAGTCACTTTACAATTAGTTGAGCCATGTAATATCTAGCACATTGTGCACTACATTTTTCATAAGAAAACAAAACTTGCCAGTGCTTAACCCTTCACTTACAGAATAATGTGTAAACACTTTTACTTTCATGTACTTTGCAAAATTAAATTTAGTCCATGACGTCTCATTCACCCTCACATTTGCTTCAGGAATGATTACCAGTCTGTATAGGGAAAAAAAACTTCTCTGACAGGAACCACTGAACATTCATTTAATGTCTGGAAGTGTGCCAAAAAGGCCAGCTCACCCCTCCTTCCTAACAATAAAGGAAGTTCCAATGGGTCCTACTCTTCCTAATGGTTGGCATGGGGGCGGGGGGCTAAATGAACTGTTCCATTTCACTGTTTGCATTACATTAGCATTCTAGACATTGCTAAAAAGTGCAATAGCAATTCTCAAAAGTGCCTTTATATCACAATTTCAGAACCTGTGTGAAATATTGCATTACATTATATCTAAAGTTTTTTATTGAATAGAAGTCTCTATAAAAGGATGAACGTTAAAATTAAAAATAAAATTATGAACATTTACATAATCTTAATTTTTAGGTTTGTGTAAAAAATCAATCTGCATACAAAATACAGTTTTATTATATGTTTAAATGCAAATTATGCATCCATTGTTTCAAAGAAATGTTATGCCAATGTTTTTTTCAAACAAAATGTGCTTGATGTTAAGGGGTTAGTTATATTCTGGCTTCAGAAGTGGTTCAGTCATTTTTATTGAGACACCTGCACAGACTGGGATAACCATACCGGCTTACAAAAGTAAGAATTGTCGGGTATTCGAAGTGAACTTCAAATGTGAGGCAAAACATTCAGAATTTGAAAAATTCTCCAAGTCAGCTATACTACCAGTTCAGCCATTTTGGTCTTAAATTTTACATTCACTTGGAATATCCAATAATTTTCACTTTATAACCCTTAGGATAAGTTTCACAAACACAGCACTCTAATAAAAAGAATTTAGGAATGACGTTGCCACAGTAACCACTCCTATATGTTTTAGTTCATATAAGCAAACAAAATCAGGTCAGATAATGATAGAGAAAAAAAGAATGTTCCTAAAGTACTGACAATTTTGAAGCCTACCAAGAAAGTGATACCACAATTTAATTTGGATGCTGTGATATTGCACATTTAGAAGGGTCTCTTTGCCAGTGTGATCTGAGAGCTGGAATAATAAAGTAGGAAAATGACTCTTTGTGATGTTTGTTGAGAATTACCTATTGAGACATACATCTGCAGGAAGTCTTTCTTCGCGTGGTAACACAGATAATTCCCACTGTTGCACAGTTGGGATGAAACATATTTTCAACAAGAGTTTAAGATGGCTTAGTTTGTCAGTGAACTGGAGGGGACCAGTCAAACTTTTTGTTTATTTAATTTGAAAATAGAGCACAAACAAAAGATATATATTGAACTTAACTCCACTACAACTGTAATATACTGGATGTTCTTATGATAGGTTCTTCATCTGTGGTGCTGTTGTGACATGATGCCTATGACCACCACTAGGTGGTCCGCTCTACAATGTTGTATGCCAGGGGTAGGCAATGCATGGCACTCAAGGTGCCTTTAAACGGCACTCAATGCTGCTAGAGCTAAACAGGCTCTGCCCTTTCAGGAGTCCCAGTGGAACAGATATCTGCTAGTGCAAAAAGCTGGTGAGGGACAATTTATTCATCTCAGATCACTTCCTCCCAACACTTGTAAATGGGAAACCACACTGGAGGAGAGCAGCCCGCAGCAGCAATTGCAGCTCCTTCCCTTGACCTGTACCTGGACTCCAGGAATGGCCAGGTAAATTTCTCACTGCTATATATGCACCAACCTGCATAATAAACCTTTCCCTTTGTAGAGGAGAGCTGGTATTACACAGCCTATCTCCACTTTGGATCCCAGTGAGGCTCAGGAACAAGCAATTATAAATCCATAGGGCAAAGTATCCAGCAGGCAAAATAACACAGCAGTATCCCAACAGCACTCCCAATAACTGGACGACACACAGTATCAGGAGCAGAACGAAAGATTTATTCAAACAGTGGCCTTATAAACCATGCTCCCATGCAAGGGAGGGATTTTCATTCATTAGTACAGTAGCCAATCTTGTTCTGGTAACCTCCCACACATCTCCTCCCCTCAGGCTGCATCATAATCCCCTTATCCAGGACACCAATTCCCCCCGTTTCTGGATGTAACCCCTAAACCTAGGGGTAACGCTTTAAATTATACATCCCCTGGTAGCCCTGATCTGGGTAAACAACATATCCAAAAATCACCCAGATCAGACCAGGGGTTCGGGAAATTTATGGATGGAATAAAATGACCGACCGCGCTGGAAAGACTAGCCGAATTGAGTTCCATGCGATGGGGCCCTGCGGTCGGTCCTGGAACAAGGGAATAAATTACACGAAAGCCTCCAGTTACAGAGACTAGGGAGGGTTCGCCTGAATCCCCTTGTTTGGTTGTTTCTGTCTACCGAACGGACCGGGCTTGTGGAGGTCTCAGCGGTGTTCGCCTAGTAGAGTGTCCGATTTGAGTTCCAGACACTCGACGGCAAAACATCGCTGTTCAACACACATAAAGGTTACATGAAAAAATAGGGCTGGCACACTTAAGGACATCAAAGTTTTACATTGGCACAAAACTTCCAAAAGGTTGCCTACCCCTGTTGTAGGCTGTATGCTTGAGGCCATACTGGTTTTCTTACTTGCCATTCATGCTGTTATAACACACTAGCTCACTGATTTTGTAATACAAGTTGCAATAAATAAGGTTATATGTGATAACTGCGTTTTGGTCACAGACCACAGCCAGGAGTGAAACACTTACTTTTTCTAAACAGCTGTTCTTTACATTCAGTTCTTTTAGCTCACTCATGAACATATCCTTTACTTTTTCCATTTTATCTGCAAATTTCTCTTTTTCTTCACTTTTCCAACTGTCAAACCTTTTGCGAATTTCCTCTTCAATTGCTTCTCTCTGTTCATTTTCCGTGACCTATTTAAAGAGGATGAATGGAACGAGAACTAGATTTATGCTGTGGAACTTTACAGCTTGTGAGACTTTTCATTAACTGGCAATTGTTGAGCAATTACAAGGGAATAGCAAATGTTTTTATATTTTTTATTTTTGCTCTGCAGAGGTTTAAAAACAGTCATGTCATGCCACAACGGCAGATGACAAAAACGTCATACTACGTAGCTTACTTGTGGTAATGCATTCAGAGAGAACATTCACAATTTTTAGAATTATAATGACAGACTAATAAACATGCTAGGAAAACAGATCTAGATGGGGAATAGCAAATGTTAGGTTAAAAGAAATAGCTACAATCGAGAATTATTATTTTCCAGTTCAGCTATTTTGACGTAGAATTTGCGATTCCTTTGTTAGAGTTCCAGTCACTATTCTTCTAAATAATACTCAAAAAATGTCGTTTCTCAATTTAACATATTTACTACCAAGAAATTTTTGTTTCAGCATTATTTATTAGGCATTATTAAGGTATTAGCAGCATCATTAACTGTACAATACCAACTAACAAACAGTTTTGGTATACAATAACAGTTATTTCTACAGTACCTTCAACTCCTCAACCCAAATTTGAATCTTCCAGTCTGGGACCCAGATAAATGATCACTTCACGTACATAATTCAGCCATTTTAAATACACTATATTACAAAGAGCTGCTAAACATTAAAAATATCACTTGCTTATTTAAACAAAGATTATATTATTAAATCACTTATCAGGATTATGTGTTAAGAGGTAGGGGACACAGTAAGAGTAGACATACATATATATTCAGCCAGGCATGACAGGGTTCCTTGTATTACTTACCTTTGCCAGCTTTTCCAGGCTGACAGCCTTTTCTGCCTGCAGCTGACACTTTGCTAACTGCAACTCCTCTTTCAGCTGGGTTATTTCACACTGAAGCTTATCTCTCAAGTGAACCTTGGATTTTTCTTTTTAAAAAGGACAAAAGATTTTTAGTGGGATTATATCTAAATATACCTGGATGAATAAAATGGCCTGTATTGATGAACAAGAAATATACATTAATACCTAGAAGTATACAGTACTCCCTGTCAGATTACGACAAATAATGATTCTATGAGAAATTCACATTTTTTAGTCTATTGCATAGCTAGTGAGCTGCAATTTAAGCAAAATAAAAACAAGCAATATTTTCATAGTCAACCTTTTGTATAAACATTAGATTTCATAATTTTATGGTTTTATGGCATAAAAAGAATGAAAGCATAGCAGTAAATTTACCAAATAAAGTCCTGAATTACTGCATTGATGCTGAAAATTAATAACGCATTAGAAATAATCAATAGATGTTACAGTCCACTTTCTGATTTAAGAAATTAATATGATCATAAAGTTAAACATCAGCATCCACTATACAGAGATCCTGTTATACATACTGTAAATATTTCAGAATTTATATTTGGGATTGTCAACTAACTGATTGGGGACATACTTCCATCATGCTAACCTCTTTTGAAACAAATAGACTTTGCCTTGATAAAAAATAAACTATAAAATATGTATGCTAGTACTCCCTCTAGAGGAAAATATTATGTATTGCAATTATGTTCCAGTATGTAAGAATGAAACTTATTCAAAATGTTTATTAACACATTTTTAATCTTCTCTAAAATAATAATAATTTTAATAATATATAAATATAATTTTAAAATAGACTGCACGTCTTACCATTGCTTGTTTCATCAGCATGTCTCCTCTGTATGTGGCTTTGTAAATAGGAGTAGTTTAAAAAAGCTTTATCACAGGAATGGCACTAAAGAAGAATAAAAGGAAGGTTAAGGTTTTCTTTAAGATACAAGACTGTTTCATGAGAGTGTCATTTTTTTATATTTTTCCGCTATGTCTTATGGTCAACACACACTTGGCATTGTAGTTAAACACAATAGGGCCTGTTAAAGCGTCTCTGTGACTTTCCAGGGTTTTTGTAAACTCTGCATGCAAAGACCTTGATTGTGATCTTGGCGCTTAGCATGCGGTGGCCTGGAGTGCAGAAGAGGAATGTTGTACATAGCTAATGCTGTCCCCGCATGTGTCTTCTTCTTCAGCCTAAAGATCCTGGTCCTTTATCCACCAGGATCAATGCTGTACTCTCACACATACTCAAGAGTAAAACATTGATGTCTATGGAGAATCTTGCAATCCATATTATTATTATCATCCCAAGATGAGCTAGCAATGGCTGTGGGAAGTGACAAAATGTTACAGAGGGGTAGTTCTGTCATTTTGTCAAGGTTGGATTTTACCATAAGACAAAGACAAGAATTTAAGGTTTTAATTTAATACCAAACGTGAAACATTGAAATTTCATATGCCTAGTGGATGTATACTCAAAACGTTAATATGTGTAAATGGAGTACTATGACAAGATTAAGGGGTAACAAACACATAAAATAAATTACAATACTCTGTTTAACAAAAGGAACAAGTTTAGTTTGTTGACATAGTTGATATTACCTTGTTATAGGAATTTGCCCCTGAATTGATTAACATCTGTTGTGTGGCAATGATCTTCTTCCTATGTTTGCACTCATCTTTGAGAGTCTTAATTTCCTGGGCCTGCTTTACCATCTTGAGTTTCATCTCTGTCGTCTCACTCAGCGTCACCTGAACTTTCTGCTCCAAGGTCTGTACATTTGTGGTCAGATACTCTTGTGAATGAAGCAGGTACTCTATCAGGAGTTGAGCCAATCGGAGTAGTTTAAGAAATAGGGGATCCAAGTTCTGTTGACAGTTTGGACACTTTTCCTTATCCACATTACAAAAAGTAACATTCATGATAATATCCTGAAGTGTAATAAAATCCAGCTCATTTGCCACTTTGTCCACATCAATGGCCCCAATCCGTCTCCAGTCCACACTTTCATGGCGCGATCTGAACTTGAAAACTGGCTCCTTGTTTGCAAAGGGCATCCGGAAAGGTGTAGAGAGAGGGTGTGACACACAGGGATTATTTTGCAAGGAGGGAAATAGTTGTGCTTGGTCTACCTCAAATGGGTAATAGATATTATCATAAAATGGCTGCAAAGCAAAAAGTTATAATTAAAAACAGGTTTCTTAAAAACAAAACACAATTATAAAATATGTTGAAAACATGTGAATGGAAAGACATTCATTTCAATAGGTGAATTTTATAAGGAGCCATGTATTACTTTAATTTTATCATTAAAAGGACCACTAAAGGCACCCAGACCACTTCAGCTTAATGAAGTGGTCTGGATGCCAGGTCCAGCTAGGTTTAACCCTTTTTTTCTATAAACATAGCAGTTTCAGGGAAACTGCTATGTTTATAATAGAGTTAATCCAGCCTCTAGTGGCTGTCTCATTGACAGCCGCTAGAGGCGCTTCCGAGCTTCTCACTGTGATTTTCACAGTGAGAAGACGTCAGCGTCCATAGGAAAGCATTGAGAATGCTTTCCTATGGACTGGCTGAATGCGCGCGCGGCTCCTGCCGCGCATGCAGCCGATGACGTCGCTATGGAGGAGGAGGAGAGTCCCCCGCCAGGCGCTGGAGAAAGAGGTAAGTTCCCTTCCTCCCCCTAGAGCCAGGCGGGAGGGGGACCCTGAGGGTGGGGGCACCCTCAGGGCACTATAGTGCCAGGAAAATTAGTATGTTTTACTGGCACTATAGTTGTCCTTTAATTACCAGTAATAATTTGAAATATTCCACTGATACTGTTATATTTTCAGAAATGAACAGATCATTTTGAATATAAATGCAAAATACTAAGGTATAAAGTGTGCAGAATGGTCATATCATATAGACTGTTCCTTATTAAAATATAAGACGCTCATTCAGTGTCTCCTTTTCTAATGATACCTCCTCCCCTCGTCTTGTCTCGGTTGGAGTCCCCTAAGGCTCTGTCCTTGGTCCCTTTCTATTTTCTTCTTATACTGCCTCTCTTGGCAAACTTATTACCTCATTTCGATTCCACTACCACCTGTATACTCATGACACCCAGATATATCTCTCCTCCCCGGACCTCTCCCCTGCCGTCCTGCAACGTGTCACTGCTTGCCTTTCTTCCATCTCTGACTGGATGTCCTCACGCTTTCTGAAACTCAATCCCTCTAAAACTGAGCTCCTTGTCTTAAGTCCTCCTAATACTGATCCTCCTCTTTCGTTTTCCCTTCAAGTTAGTGGTATCTACATCAGTCCATCTTTGCAAGTGCGCTGTCTTGGTGTCATACTTGATTCTGTCCTCACCTTTGAGCCTTACATCCAGCATGTTACCAAGTCCTGTAGATTTATCTTAAAAACATAGCCCGCGTCCTTCCTTTTCTTACACAAGATGCTACCAAGGAGCTTGTCCATGCTCAAGTAATTTCCCACATGGATTATTATAACCCTCTCCTTATTGGTCTTCCCAAAAACCGTATTGCCCCGCTACAGTCTGTAATGATTGCTACTGCCAGACTGATTTTCCTCTCTAGTCGGTCCTCTCACCCCTCAGTCAGTCCTTACATTGGCTTCCTGTATCCTATAGTAGTCAATTCAAAGTGCTAACCCATACATATAACGTACTGAACAATTCTAGTCCCTCTTATATCTCTTCACAGATCCATAGATATGCCCCTTCTTGGTCTCTCTGCTCTGCCTGTGACCTTCTCCTGTCCGCTACTCGCACCCATACGGCCAACTCATGCTTGCAGGACTTCTTGCGGGCAGCTCCCTTCTTATGGAATCGACTGCCTACCGCCATCAGACTCTCCCTTAGTCTTCAATCGTTTAAGAAGTGCCTTAAAACCCATCTCTTTAGGAAAGCTTATGGCCTCCCAGAGTAACCTCTACCTCACATACCTGTCTCTTGATCTCTCCTAAAGGGCAGCACTGTACTATCTCTTCCAGCTCTGCTTCACTCCCACCTGATTTGATTGCTATTTCCTGTCCTATTGTGTTTTACACCCCACCTCCTATGGACTGTAAGCTCACTTGAGCAGGGTCCTTTTCAACCTAACGTTACTGTAAGTTTTCTTGTAATTGTCCTATTTATAGTTATAATATTGTAAAGCGCTACAGAATCTGTTGGCGCTATATAAATGGAAATAATAATAATAATAATAATAAGACTGTAACTGCTGAAATGTAAAAATAGTTATGGTTCCAGTTTAGTTATTTAGATCTGGAAAGTGAAATTCCATGACCAATTCCAGGAAGCTCTCAGTTTCTTGTACAACCCTGCCAGCAGAATATTATTCATTTACGGGTGCCTTTTTTAGTTAATCTTTCATGTGGTCTTTGAGAACTATTACAAACACTGAAAGTTTTGTCTAGCTGAATATATTAATACAATGTAATATTCTAGCTGTGTGAGCATGCAGTACAAGTTGGCACGAGTTGGTTCTTGTAGAAATCTCAGCTAATTACATCAGGCACCAACTCCCTCCTGTATGTTATATATTGTTTTTTCTTTACATATATTTTTATTAAAGTTTTCAAGTGTAAAGATTAACAACATTTTTTTTCTCAGGTCAGAATGTACATCCATATTAGCTTAAATGTTTACACGTATCTTATATATTGAGGCTGGTTCCCTGGTCTCAGCAAGCTGTACCTCAATATATCACACAGGATCCACATCCCCTGCATTAATCAATGACCGAAATACAAACAGGCAATGTCTAATGGGCAGTAAAACCATAAACCCATAGCTGCAGGCTACCCACAAACAGCGGCACATTCCCACACTGCCCATCACCCCCAGCCACAGGGAGATCACTGTGTGAAGCAATGTCACTGTGCCCATCACCCCCAGCCACAGCCACAGGGAGATCACTGTGCACCAGGGGAAATACTCTACCCATCCTCATCCCCACTCATTACCGAAACTAACAAACTCACCCCCCCCCTCCTCCCCCCCGGCATATTATAAATCATCATCATCTTCACTCTTCAACTACACTAGGAGAGGGCAAACTGCGGCACTCCAGTTGTTGCGGACTACAGCTCCCATAACTGTGACAAAGCATCATGGGAGATGTAGTCCACATACCCTGCTCTCACCCAGTACAGAGGCCCCCATACTCTGCCCCCCATATTTTATACCCAGCTCTCACCCCACTATGTCCCCTCCCCCCTTCCATACTCTGCCCTCACCATTTCCTCTCCTTTGCTCCATCCGGGGACTCGCGCCAGTGAGACGGTTAGGGGACTACGGGTGGTCCGCACTGTTACCATGACAACCAGGGCGCCACGCCTACAATCTCCAGACAGAGCTGGCTCCCAGTGATTCAGGGCGTGCTGCAGGGAAGTCCCGCCCCCTTCTTAAATCCCTGCCCCGCCCCCTTCTTAAATCCCGGCCAGAACCTTTCATGGTAACAGCGCGGATAGAGCGGACCTGGGTCTGGCTATACGGACTGCGCGTCACCCGACTATACTGACTGCGCGTCACCCGGCTATACGGACTGCGCGTCACCCGGCTATACTGACTGCGCGTCACTCGACTATACTGACTGCGTGTCACCCGGCTATACGGACTGCGCGTCACCCGGCTCTACGGACTGCGCGTCACCCGGCTATACTGGCTGCGCGCCACCCGGCTATACGGACTGCGCGTCACCCGACTATACTGACTGCGCGTCACCCGGCTATACGGACTGCGCGTCACCCGACTATACTGACTGCGCGTCACCCGGCTATACGGACTGCGCGTCACCCGGCTATACTGGCTGCGTGTCACCCGGCTATACGGACTGCGCGTCACCCGGCTATACTGGCTGCGCGCCACCCGGCTATACGGACTGCGCGTCACCCGACTATACTGACTGCGCGTCACCCGGCTATACGGACTGCGCGTCACCCGACTATACTGACTGCGCGTCACCCGGCTATACGGACTGCGCGTCACCCGGCTATACTGGCTGCGTGTCACCCGGCTATACGGATTGCATGTTAGTGTGTCACCCGGCTATACGGACTGCGTGTCACCCGGCTATACTGACTGCGCGTTACTCGACTATACTGACTGCGTGTCACCCGGCTATACGGACTGCGCGCCACCCGGCTATACTGACTGCGCGTCACCCGGCTATACGGACTGCGCGTCACCCGGCTATACTGGCTGCGTGTCACCCGGCTATACGGATTGCATGTTAGTGTGTCACCCGGCTATACGGACTGCGTGTCACCCGGCTATACTGACTGCGCGTTACTCGACTATACTGACTGCGTGTCACCCGGCTATACGGACTGCGCGCCACCCGGCTATACTGACTGCGCGTCACCCGGCTATACGGACTGCGCCGGCTATATACTGACTCGCAGCGTCCTTTCGACTATACTGACTGGTATCACCCGACTGCATCACCGGACTACTGCGCGTCACCCGGCTCTACGGACTGCGCGTCACCCGGCTATACTGGCTGCGCGCCACCCGGCTATACGGACTGCGCGTCACCCGACTATACTGACTGCGCGTCACCCGGCTATACGGACTGCGCGTCACCCGGCTATACTGACTGCGCGTCACCCGGCTATACGGACTGCGCGTCACCCGGCTATACTGGCTGCGTGTCACCCGGCTATACGGATTGCATGTTAGTGTGTCACCCGGCTATACGGACTGCGTGTCACCCGGCTATACTGTCTGCGTGTCACCCGGCTATACTGACTGCGTGTTAGTGTGTCACCCGGCTATACGGGCTGCGTGTCACCCGGCTATACGGATTGCGTGTCACCCGGCTATACGGATTGCGTGTTAGTGTGTCACCCGGCTATACTGACTGCGTGTCACCCGGCTTTACTGGCTGCGTGTCACCCGGCTATACAGGCTGCGTGTCACCCGGCTATACGGATTGCGTGTTAGTGTGTCACCCGGCTATACTGACTGCGTGTCACCCGGCTATACGGACTGCGTGTCACCCGGCTATACGGACTGCGTGTCACCCGGCTATACTGACTGCGTGTTAGTGTGTCACCCGTCTATACGGACTGCGCGTCACCCGGCTATACCGACTGCGCGTCACTTGGCTATACCGACTGCGCGTCACTCGGTAAACGGACTGCGCGTCACTCGGCTATACCGACTGCGCGTCACTCGGCTATACGGACTGCGCGTCACCCGGCTATACCGACTGCGCGTCACCCGGTTATACCGACTGCGCGTCACCCGGGTATACGGACTGCGCGTCACCCGGGTATACGGACTGCGCGTCACCCGGCTATACGGATTGCGTGTCACCCGGCTATACGGATTGCGTGTTAGTGTGTCACCCGGCTATACTGACTGCGTGTCACCCGGCTTTACTGGCTGCGTGTCACCCGGCTATACTGGCTGCGTGTCACCCGGCTATATGGATTGCGTGTTAGTGTGTCACACGGCTATACTGACTGCGTGTTACCCGGCTATACTGACTGTGTGTCACCCGGCTATACGGACTGCGTGTTAGTGTGTCACCCGGCTATACTGACTGCGTGTTAGTGTGTTACCCGGCTATACGGACTGCGTGTCACCCGGCTATACGGACTGTGTGTTAGTGTGTCACCCGGCTCTACTGACTGCGTGTCACCCGGCTATACTGACTGCGTGTTAGTGTGTCACCCGGCTATACTGACTGCGTGTCACCCGGCTATACTGACTCCACGTTACCCGGCTATACGGACTGCGTGTTAGTGTGTCATCCGGCTATACTGACTGCGTGTTACCCGGCTATACGGACTGCGTGTCACCCGGCTATACTGACTGCGTGTCACCCGGCTATACTGACTGCGTGTCACCCGGCTATACTGACTGCGTGTTACCCGGCTATACGGACTGCGTCTTAGTGTGTCACCCAGCTATATTGACTGCGTGTCACCCGGCTATACGGACTGTGTGTTAGTGTGTCACCCGGCTCTACTGACTGCGTGTCACCCGGCTATACGGACTGTGTGTTAGTGTGTCACCCGGCTATACTGACTGCGTGTCACCCGGCTATACGGACTTCGTGTCACCCGACTATACTGACTGCGTGTCACCCGGCTATACTGACTGCGTGTTACCCGGCTATACGGACTGCGTGTTACCCGGCTATACGGACTGCGTCTTAGTGTGTCACCCGGCTATACGGACTGCGTGTCACCCGGCTATACTGACTGCGTGCCACCCGGCTATACTGACTGCGTGTCACCCGGCTATAACTAGAAACGGACAGTTTTTCTACCGAACACCGCTGAAACTGCCGACCGCCCTTCTTATCATCGGGCATGCGAACGCTGGTCTGTTCGGGACTTTTATTATACGAATGGACTTAACCCAGATCGTCATCCCATGGAGTCAATCGTATACCGAAAGTACAATAAAGTGAAAGACTTTGACTCCATGGTGATTGAACTGTGTGCATTGGGTCTGAGCGCTAGTCGGTAGTAATGTGCACTCAGGCACAGGCTATCTGGGGATACGTTACACAAACTAAATGCATTCGGTAATTTTACAATTATGGATTTTTATGTGTGTTTATTATACTATGTAAAATGGTGGTTTGCCTCTATCCCTTGAGATAATTGGATTTCTTCCCAATTTTCTCCAGGATATTGAGGAGGGATTTACTTGTACAAAGGGGAGTGTTTATAGCTGAGCCACTGTGATTGGCTACTGTACATTATGTGTCCCAGTCTTCCATCTGGTCCCCTAGGGGAGTGTCCAGCAGGTGGGAGACCTGCATAAATACCAGGCAGGTACCCCTCATTAAAGCAGATTCCTGTTTTACCCTCAGGACAGAGCTTGGTCTCGTTTTTGGGGGGATTACTACATGGAAGTATTATTTCACCTGTTCTAGGAGAGAAGGATATGATTACTGAACACAATGGTCAGAGCAGCTGCCCCGTGGGCCCCGCGATTTCAGCAGCCCCCATGTACCTGGTGGTGCAGCCGCACCAGCCCGCCAACTAAGGAGGCCCCCGGGTGGCCCATGCACTAGGGGCCACCCTGTGTGCATGTGGCAGAAGGGGCCCGGTCGGGCGCTGTGATGCTTAAACAGCGCGACCGGGCCCCTTCCTGTACCGGCTGGGAGGAAGTGAGTACCGCGTGTCACTTTCTCCCACCGGAGATAGCCAGGAGGGAGGAGGGGAGTTCCAGAGAAGAACTCCCATCTGCCTCAGCCTGCCACTGGACCCCAGGGAAACCATCTCCATAAAAAGTGTGTGTTAGTATGTCTGTGTGTGTGTGTTAGTATGTCTGTGTGTGTTAGTATGTGTGTGTGTCAGACATACAGACACACAGACATACACACACACACACTTACATACACACACACAGACATACTGACATACACACACAGACATACTGACACACCACACAGACATACTGACATACACACAGACATACTAACACACCACACAGACGTACTGTGTGTTTGTATGTCAGTATGTCTGTGTGTGTATGTCAGTATGTCTCACTGTGTTCCAGTGTGTGTGTGTGTATGTCAGTATGTCTGTGTATGTCAATACGCCTGTCAGTGTGTGTGTCTGTGTCAATATATCTGTCAGTGTATGTGTCTGTGAGTATGTATGTGTCTGTGTGTGTATCAGTATGTCTGAATGTGTGTCAATGTTTGCCAGTATATATTTTTGTGTCAGTGTATGTGTGTGTCAGTATGTATCTGCGAATGTTTTAATGTGTCTGTCTGTGTGTGTATGTGTCAGTATGTCTGTCAGTGTGATTGCGGGTTGGGCGTAATGGGGAGGGAGGGTGCAGTGACAGGGCCCAGGGGGCCCAAGAAAAGGCTTTGCCCGGGGTCCTATTCATATTATAGACTGCCCTGACAATGGTTAATATAATTATCACAGGCAGAGAAATACAGTATTATAAAACACATCACAGGGACCCCAAAACATGCAATAACCCCATAAAAAGTATATCCTTGGAACCGGGGGATCTGGGTGAACCACATATCCAAAATTCACTCAGATCCGTTCAGTACTTTGGAAGATACAGTTTAATGCAGATTCCGCAGAACATATACAGGCTATATGAAAAACAATTACTGTATAATGTGTCCCCTGTTGTATAGTCCAAAACCACTGCACGATGTCTCTGTGCACCAAATACCGGCGAGATGGCACCGTGTTGAAAAGTCCAAACAGTGTCTGTGAGTTAAAATGGCCGCCATCCATTGTTCTCACCATGTGCCTCTGATACATGAAATGGTGGCACCCAGTAACTCCACAGTATGTCCCCAGATGGTTCTTAAAGGGCCAGCAGCAGCACAACACAAATCCATTATGCCCAAATAATGTCTTTAAAGGGCAATACATCCCAGGGGCCATAGTCACA